AACCGACGCCGGAGCCAAACCCGACTCCGCGGGCAGACAAGCACGCCGAAGTGCAAACTCCCGCACAACCGCCCAAGCAACCGCTGAGCAACCCGGGACCCCCTCCTGAACAGCCAAAGGCGGGACCACAGCCACAGTAACACTTCTGGAGGGAAGACAATGAGGGGCCCAAGAGCCTGAAACAAGGCCCAGGTCCGAACCCGGGACGGAAACAGAAGGTAAAACCTCCAGATCACCAGGAAACCAAACCCAGCGATCTGGAAAGAACCATCCCCTGGCGAGCAGACAAGCGGACTGACTGGGAGCCCACTCCAGCCAGTCGTCGAGGTAGGCCAGACACCGAATCTCAGACGCAGACAGGGCACTAAGATCCGGTAAAGATGCAAAGAGTATACAAAGTGCCCTTCACAAAATAGGGAATGCAATAAAAACAGCAAACCTGAAGCCCCACCACCAAAGCATTGTATGACAATCATATGAAGACATATTATGACATATGACAATCATCATATGACAATATGACAATTATAATCAAAGCATTATATGACAAAGAGTGCTGGGAAGACGGGACACCACGAGAGTAGCTCTCATCCTGTAACTACACTTAGGTAAGAACACATAGGTAATTACCAACCGTGCTAGCCCCAGAAAAACTGGAGAGGAACGTGCCAAGAAGTGACCTGGAGGTCCAGGTCCACCATCCATGCACCCGGCCCTAACAGAATCCGAACAGGAGACAACAGTCCTCCGAGCAGGGCAGAGGATCCAGGGCGCAGACGGAAGTAGTCCAGAAGAACTGCAGACTGGAAAAGCCCATGACTGCAAAGAGCAGACGGGAAAAACTCATGACTGCAAAGAGCAGACGGGAAGCCCAGAAGGATGGGGCGGATCGACCACGCCCCACGCACCCACGAAGAGGAAATGACGAAGCGCAGGGAAGAAGCCCACCCCGCCAGCTCTGAACCCCCCCAAGGGGGAGAAGCCGTCCTCCGACGCCAGCAGAGGCCGGAAGACAACCCAAAGCGCCCACCAACAGCGGGACCAAGCGAGAGGCAACAGAGCAAGCTGCTCCCCCAGCGCCCAGTCAACAGAGAAGGGAACAGAACCCCTTCAGAAAGAAAAAGTACACTACCGAAGTCATGAGGAGAGACTACGGGAATGAAACCACACTTCGCTGGAAGAGGAAGTGAGGGGAGACCTGATCACCACATACAAGATACCCAAGGGAATCGACAGGGTTGAGAAGGACAGGATATGTAACACAAGGGGCACACGCACTAGGGGACACAGGTGGAAACTGAGTACCCAAAAGAGCCACAGATAGAATTAGTTTTTTTTTTTTTTTTTTTTTTTTTTTTTTTGAGTGTCAGAAAGGGAACGGGAAAGCACTAAGAAGTAATGTGGCGACTCCTCACACAAGTAACGAGGCTGACCCCCATACAATGTCACATGTAGACATGACAGAGCCCAAGAGGCACAGGAACCGATACACCTGTTGACGGACGGTTGAGAGGCAGGACCAAGGAGCCAGAGCTCAACCCCCACAAGCACAACTAGGTGAGGACATATATTGTAAAAGCACAAGCCGCCGACTAGTGGCAAAGAGCACTACGCCGGCCAGGCAAAGAAGGCACAAAACTGCATCAAAAGGCCCACCTCGACAGCAAAACCACAAAGTCCCAGCACAACCACAACATGTGCCAAGACCCAAAAAGCTCAGTCTGCAAGCCAGGAAGACCCCGGAACCCCAAAAGGCAGAACCGGGTCACACGAGGAAACAAAGTCCCCTGAACCCACAAAAGGGGGCCCAAGAGGAAGAAACCTCCAGAACGAAACCAAGGAACCCAAAGGAACCCAGAATCGAACCAGGGGGAGCCCAAACCACCACATTTGCCGGCGGAGAACACCACTAAAAGGCAAAGCACAGACCCCAGCAGAACGCCCGGGGAAAACGGTCCCAACAGACCGAAAACCGAGGGGCAAGGTGTGGGAGCAAGCATACCAGCCAGGGGCACTGAGCCTAAACCCAGAGGCTCAGACCCAAAATCAACACCCAAACGTTCCCAGAGGAACAGGCAACGGCAAGAAAACACCAGAAAACAAAGAAACGACAACAGGAGAACAAAAACCCTGCAAATTTTTTGAAAACTCACCAGAGACGCTCGCTCGCACACCCAGACGCATGTAAACAAACCGCAACGCCGCCCTGGTGGCCACGCCGGGAAACCGGCAGACGAAAATGGCCGCCAGCAGGGGCTGTGACTGACGCTTAATACACAAAAACACGCCAGCAAATGTGGGAAGCTAGCAGACTGGAAGGGCGAAAAACGACGCCCAACAGCAGAAAAACCCCTGAAGGGGCAAAACTGCCCCAGAACTGCTAGTAGGATTCCCCACAGCCCCGGGAACCAACAACAGAGGCCCCGGGGCAGAGCCGGCCTCCAAGCCCTCCGCCCTTAAAGAAAAGCAAGAGCCCATGGGAAAGGCAACAAGAAAGGGCCGCTGGTAAGACCCAGAAGCCTTGGCAGGAGGCACAGGCTCAAACCTCCGTCCCCAACCCGAACGGGGCATCCCCTGAAAACCGCCCGAGTCTCTGCCGCAACTGAACCCCGCCCCGACCCAGAAACACGCAGACGATCCGGAGCCGGGAACATGGAGAGAAAGGGGCGAGCAGCACCAAACCAAACGGGGCGGCCACGGGGCATTCGAGTGGGAAACCAACCTAGCATGTTGCAGCAACCTAACATAGCTTGCAACACGGATGCCGCCTGTACTCTGAACAGTAATAACATCAGGAGAGTACTGGAGAACAAGCAGAGAATCACTCGCAAGACTCCGGGTCAAGGTGTCAGTGACCCAATAGGCAGCATGACGGAGGTAAAAATGGCGACTGTCACCCGGAGACAAGGGAACAGCAACCAACGATCCCGTACAAGACGGGTTGGAACCCGGAAGACACATTCAATGGTCCCCCGAGCCCAGACAGGGGTTTCCAGGGCCCGTAGGGTAACAACTACGGGAAGCCCGGGCAAGGTGTTGCTAACCGGTTAAGAAACCCAAACATAACAAGAGGGTAGATTATAGCACTGAAAACCCCCGAGACGTGTATAAGCACGGGGGCCTAGCAGAGGGCCGCCAAACACTACCAGTGGAACTATAACCACCTTAGGCAGACCCCCACCAAGCAAGAAAATGAAAAACAAAAGAAAAACCCCGCAAAAGTACACCGTCTCCAGAGGTAACAGAAACCGGACGCCGCTTAGGTGGCAGGCTGCGCAACACCTTGACGCCCTAACCAGCACAATACCAATCCCTACCCAGGGCCAAACAAGGGCCCCAAGCCCCAGCTGGCCCCAAGGGCGAGGCAAATGCCGAGCAGCAAGAACCTCTACGGGAATGGTTCCCGAACGCCCCAGGGAAGATAACCCTGTAACGCAAGGGCAGTACTCACAGGGCGCTTAGGGAAGTCAGCCACTAAGCACATGCAGCCCCGGCACTGATGAAGTACTCCTGGCCACCGCACACCACAACACACGGCAGTGAACGCCACACAAGGCAAACACCGCCTAGGAAACTGAGGCCAGAGAAGCGTCAATCCCGGTTGACATTAGCGAACGAACTGGAGCTTGGCAGCCGGCGCGGTAGGTCCGGGGCTCCCCCCTCCCCCTCCTGGGGTGGGGAGGGCTGCGCGGACGATCGGCGCGGCAGTAAAGTGTGATGTTTGCTTGTTTGCTTGTTTCCTTGGGATTGTAGGGAGTTTTCTACCTCTCTGTTCGGTTTTTGTTGTAGTTTCTTACCATGTGGGGTTTGTTTTGTTACGCCTACCTTTCTGGGTGCCTAACCCCGGTCGATGGCAGATAAGGAAAACCCCCAACCATATGGGGTTTTCCAGGGCCATTGCTCCCTGAAACCTCTCTGAAGGGGCCAGGTTCTGGCGCTGGTCCCTGGTAGGTCTGAACTCCTTAGCTAATGTCCCGGTCTAACATAACACACATTAGCCCGATAAGCTCCAGGGAGCCGTAGGGGCTCCCCACAGAAAAGAGACTCATCGTGTCTCTTATTTACAAAGATAGTCCTCTCCATATTGTCCACTATTCTCTTTCTGAATATTTTAGTATTTTCGAAGGTATACAGATCAGTGACTTTTGTAGTTTAAGGCCTCATACCTGTTTTCTTTCTTGAATATAGGCACCATGTTTGCAGTCTTTCAGGTTTCCAAAAATTTCCCATTTGCCAACACCACATTATAGACGCTAGTCTGAGTGATGTCACATACTGCTAGTATCACTGCTGCCCCTGTCAATATCCATTGGAAACTTTGGTCCTGTTCTATTGCTTTATTTACCTCTAGTTCTTTTAGGTGCTTCTTTACCTCCTCTTCAGTTACTACTATATCTTACTTAATGATTTCCACCACTCTGTGATCTCTTGTACCAACTCTCTACTCTGCTAACACTGCAAATGCCCCCTTAAATCTCCTATTAAGTTTCTCTCATTTTTTCATCTTTTTTTATCTAATACTCTAACTTGGACCATTACTGTCAATTTTCTTCTTATATAGCTATGAACAGGTCACCTTTTGGCAGCTAATTAGTTTTATTCATAGTCATTTACAAAGTGCCCTTCTGCTTCTCTATAGATGGTAGTGTACTCATTTTGGGCCCTTCATATTGCCTTCCTCTTTGCATCAGTACTCTGTAGTCTGTACACTTTACAAGTCTTTTAGTTTGTGGTTTTGTCATCCTTACACTGTTGAACCATAGGTTAATGTAGCTCCTCTCCTCTGCCCAGTGGACCCATGGCCCTAACTAGGACAGCAGCTTGAGGTTGCCATGCTCAGTAAAAGAATAATTACCAATAATTTTAAATACAAGAACGAGTAAGGAAAAGAGGATCCACAATTTGTCAATGTCAAAATTAATCTATTAGTATATCTAATTTTAATTTGACATAAAATACTTTTATAGTAAAATTTAGATTAAACAATATTAGAAACAAACCTTGATAACCATCATAGCAGAGACATTTGTAATCCTTTACAAGGTCAGAACAAGTTGACCCGTGCTGGCATGGAGATGACTCACAATCGTCAATATTTATTTCACACTGTGGTCCTTTGAAGCCGGTGTCACTACAGTTACATGTGTAGTGGTTGATGCCGTCAGTGCACACACCCTCATTCATACAAGGGTCGGACTAGAATATAACAGGTGAGCAAACTTGTGTTACTAAAACATCAAAACAGATTTGAGAAACAGTAACTTAAAAAGAAAGTTGAACTATGTACAGCTGAAGGAATTAATGTGTACTAAAGTGACGGAAACAAATTTAAGACATAAAACTAGTAACTCAAATTCTTATTCATGCTAGCCACTACAAAATAAAATCAGGACATGAACATAATGTGATTAACACCTGCAATATAAAAATATGCAATTCCAAAACTAGTACAGTATTTATATTACAAACAAAATGCAAAGTACGTGTATAACAGTAACGTGCATACCTCACACTCATCAATATTGGTGGAGCAAAGCTTGTCAGCAAAGCCAGGCAGACATTCGCAAGTGAAGGTGGCAATACCATCAGAGCAGGTGGCATTATTTTGGCAAGGGGCGCTTGCACACTCGTCAATGTCAATATCACAGTCAGTGCCTGTAAAACCAGGCTGACACACACATTCATAACCATTAATTCTATTGATGCAGGTGCCACTATTGCGGCAGGGTCGGGAGAGGCACTCGTCAAACTCCAGGTTGCAGTGGTCTCCAGAAAAGCCGGGCCGACAGTAACACTGATATGATCCATTGGTGTTCTCGCAGATGCCATTGACACAAGGACGTATTAATTCACATTCATTAACATCCTCTTCACAATTATGACCTGAAAAATGAATAAGTACTATTAACTAGTGACAGTGCAGTTATCTATAAGCTGCACTAATAATAGCTTAATATTTGTGATGTAATGATAAAATGCTCACAAACAACTCTCTTTTTTTTCTGTGGAGAGCCACTTCAGCTCCCCAGAGCTATACCGGGCTGATGTCTGTATATATTAGACCGTGGCATCAATCAATCGATGGAGTTCTAGGGCCAGGACTCTCTGAGGGGGGCCAGTGCCGGAACCTGGCCCCCAGAGAGCCACGAGGAGCAATGTCCTATAGACACCCTCGTGTAATTGGAAGCAGTCTATATCTGCCATCTACCCAGGTCAGGCACCTAAAAAGGTTGGAATTCCAAAACAAACAGCAACTGGTTAAAAAAATTGCAAGCCGCAAGCCGAACTAGCAAGCAGAACTTCCCAATCGAAAACAAGCAAACAAGCATGATATCAGCCTTCCCCCTCCCAGGGAAAGGAGGGCTACACGAACAAGTGGCATGATGGCATGGTGTGACATTTGCTTGTTTCTTCAGAAATTGAGGGTGTTCTGCCTCTCTGTTTGGCTTTTGGTTGCCATTTTCTTACTATGTGGGGTCTGTTTTGTGTCTGACGCCATGTGGGGTCTGTTGAAAGGCACCCCTACCTTTCTGGGTGCCTAACCCCAGTCGATGGCAGACAAGGAAAACCCCAAACCACAGGGGGGGGGGGGTGTTCCAGGGTCATTGCTCCCTGAAACCTCACTGAAGGGGCCGGGTACTGGCTCGTGGTCTCTGGTAGGTTGAACTCTATTGACTAAAGCCCTGGTCTAATGTATTGCATATCAGCCCGATAGCTCCAGAAAGCTGAAGGGGCTCCCCACAGAAATGGAACCATATTGAATGGAGTACATCAAGAATATGAAAAACAAGAAGTGTTGCATGTAAAGAAGGAAGCAGTGTTGATTGGGCACAGTACCAGTATATGAAAAAGCACTATAGCATAAAGTTAGTTAAAAATGTATGGAGTGTGTGTTGCATGCAATGCATGGAAACCACACAATGATTCAGTGATTTTTCAGAAATAGTTCACAGATTTACCAGATAAAAATGGCAAAAAGTTGTTAATGCTAATATTTAACCCAAGAATATTGGTGACTTACCTGTGTAACCTGGAGGACAGACACAGCTATAGTTAGCCATTCCATCATGACACTCCCCTCCATTAAGACATGGACTACTTTCGCACTCGTTAATATTGATGGAGCAGTTTTCTCCTGTGAAACCCTCTGGACATCGGCATTCGTAACTATTTATCAGATCGTAGCAAACTTTGCCACCAGGACAGGTTACATCAAAACAATCATTGATGTTGTTGCTGCAGTACAAACCTTCAAATCCTGAATATAAAAATCTCATTACAAATTGAATTTAAAGTATATACTGTACTATAATTTAAGAATAGTTAAAAACACACACGAAATAATTTTAGGATAGGAAAATGTGAGAAAGACAAGAATCGCCCCTTAAGGGTGATATTTAATGGAGTGAAACAAATGATGGAAGTGTGTAGAAATGTTAGGAAATTGCAGTGATGATGAGGATGGGGAAACTTTGGTCCTAAGACCAAAGATGAGACTAAAACTAAGATGAGACCTCTCAAACAAACAGAGAAAATCTAAAAAATAAACCTCAGTGAAGTGAAATGTCTAAATGGGAATAGAAATGAAGATAAATTTTTTTTTTCTACAAAATGATAGGGACTGGAAAGCCCATTAAATGGTACATGAAGTAAAAGAAAGAAAATCATTACAGGAAGGGGGATTATAGGGGAAACGGAACATGGTGCTGAAAATTATATATATTAACATAGATGGTGTGAGAAAGAAAATACTGGAACTAAGAGATATAATTCAGCTTAAGGTCCCAGATATTATCGCACTAACAGAGACAAAACTTGAATAAAATATTTTAAATAAGGTCTTATTTCAAAGGAGCTACTCAGTTTGGAGACATGATAAGGAAAACTAGGAAGGGGGGAGGAGTGGCTGTGCTGGTGAAAAAATACCTGAAGGTAAGAGTTAATAATCGAAAACCCTTGAGAAGCTGACATACTGGCATTGCAGTTTGGAAATCTGGATAATAAACCGATAATTGTAAATGCCTACAGCCCACCAGCAAGCAACACATGGACAAAGGAGGAACTAAATGACAAACAAGAGGGCCTCATAATGGTCATGAGAGAGATTATAGTAAAAGCAGATAAGGATAAATCACGATTGTTGGTACTGGGGGGGAATAACTTGAAAGCAATAGACTGGGAGGCTGTTGCTCAATAGACCTCAAGTAGAAATATATTCACAACTCTTGGATTGCTAGGTAAGTTCAACAATCACTTTGCCAAGAGTACTAACCCTCAATACATTCGCAGTAAAAATCTTGTGACCCCCGAGATGAGATACACGAGGCAGAATTCTGGCAAGGGTTGGAGCCACACGCATCGTACTCTTCTTCACAATTTACTCCCATGTACGCCTCCCCACACTCACAGGTGTAGTTGTTTACTCCATCAACACAAGTCCCTCCATTACGGCATGGACTTGATTCGCATTCGTTTGTGTCTGTCTCGCATCTCTCTCCTTTAAAAAGAATATACCAAGCACAAGTTTCACTATACAGTATTGTAAAGTCAATGTGGCTTACATCATCAGGAGCATTTCACTATATAAAGTTAAGGAAATTTGCTTATACAGCAGTTTAATTACCAAGATTTGAAATATCTCTGGCAATAATTACCTTATAAAATTTTTATGTTATTATTATAATAATAAAAAGCCTCATTCTGGTGGGATCCTCAGGGTTTCTCTGATCTCCAAATCTTGGGTAGCATATTTTCAAATTCATAAGTGCCTACTGGGAACCAGTACTGAAAAATAATTCAGTACTGGTGGTTCCTACTCTCTGTACCTCTGTGAGGAGGTCAGGCTCTGGCTCTGGTCCATGGAAGGCCTATAGAACTCTGCAACTGATGGGACCTAGTAGTATGACATGCTTTCAGATATAGTTTCTTCAGGGAGCCACCAGGGCTCACCCAGAAATTGGCATTTAATTACATTCGACATTCATTTTATTGTATATGTACAGTATTATTTATTTATTTATTTATTTATTTATTTATTATATTTTAATAAAAAATACTGTACTGATTTTTGTACAATACCATATAGAGATACTATCATTTTCTTACACATAAAAGTCATTCATTTCAATATTACAGTACCTGTAAATCCTGGAGGGCATGTACAATCAAAGCCATTAACACGATCTTTGCAGGAAGCACCATTAAGGCACGGGGACGAGGCACATTCATCAACGTCTTCATCGCAGTTCTTGCCAGACCATCCAGCATCACACAAACATTCATAGTCACCAATCTGTAGTGATCAAATATAGCATTAAACTTTTCTAGAAAAATTGCTACAATAACCATATACTGATGTAGCCTTATAATAATAATAATAATAATAATAATATAACAATACCCTTATAATACTGATGTAACTGATAAGCATCAGGTAAGCAAAGCTACATAACTATTAGTTGTGGCATAGTAGAGCATACAGTTCATGCATACCTATTAAATATTGAGAAATTATAATTTTCAGTAATTCACTAACACTCCTCAACTGCCTGTACAGCAGCATTACTTTACAATCAGTAAAAATTAACTCTGCTGGAGTTAACCAAGGTTTAGTGCCTACTATTAATCATTCTTGTTTGTCTCTATCCATTTTAGATTAACCTCAGCTTTTATTACTAGGCAGAATCTTAAGGAATTTATCTCACTGCCATTTGAAATTAGAATGGGATGTTAGAGAAGAAAACTAAAGCATTTAGCAAAATTGATACACACTGCGCATGCATGCATGCAAGGCTAGGGGAACATAACTGTTCACAACGGATCCTTAACAAAAAATAATAAAAATAAATTAGTCATAGGACTACATCATAGAAAATAATGTAGTCATTAAATAGAAGCTGACCATAGCAGACGAATACATCATACCAAAGAGCAGGAGGCCAAGAGAGGGATCAGAGCAACAAAACAAGCCTTTGTAGCAGAGAACAAGAGAGGAAGTAATGAACCAGAATTTCAAGATCTAGTATTCACAAAAATCAAGGTAAGACATAACACAAGCAGACATAACAAAGCTAAGAAAGCAAGCAATCACCCGCATCATATTTTTTTAACTACACCCCCTCAATAGCTTCCTTGTGCATTATGCTATCAAACTAAGACACAGGCCTCCCGCTAGTCCTCTCTTGAGACCTTGTGCACAAGATGACAAGCTCCATCAAGGGAGTGGAGCAAATTAAAAGAAGCTACACCATGCAAAAGGTAATGCCACTTGGTTTAGGAGGAGAGATCTCTAGAAGCCATGGGCCTTCAACAAAACAGCATTAAAGAAGAAAGCCCTTAAATAAAGCTGCTAGCGGAAAGCACAAGACATGCATATAACTACTGTACTCACACAACAATATAAACACCAAAGAATGAGAAGCCTTTGCACACACACACAACTTTCACAGGAAAACCTAATTAATAGTTATCTTTGTGGCTAATGCAGAACCAGTGGCAACAAGTAAACTGCCAAACATCAAGTGAGCTTGTTGACTCTTCTGACCCTTGTTGTGGTACTGCCACATGGTAGTGTATGGGTTGCAAACTTATTACTCATCCAGTACATTAAAGAGGGGCTTATTGAGTCTACTGTTGCATACCTCCTCCCCGCTGCTAGCTCAGGGATCCACCTAGGGACCCCACCAGAAGGAGGTATTTCATTACATTAAACTTTTTATTTGTTATATGAGAGAGTCGATCTCTCAGTGGTGGCTTGCGTTTGATTCATCATTGTCACCCTTTGCCATGTTGATGATCAGACTATTTTTAATGTTACTGTTCATGGTGTATCAACAAGTCATCAGAGCTTGACAAGTGCAAAATGTTTCTGTGAGTCTGTGTAAGCTTATTAATGAAGGAAGGAACCAATGGGGAATTACTTCAGAAAGTTCACACACAAAAATAAACTTTCATTAATTAAGAAATATTTAGAGCACAGCTGACAGACACACAAGACCTTAAGGCTTATCTACAACAAATATATAACAAAGAAAATTAACTTACCATATGAAAGTCCTTAAATGAGAGAAATTTGTGGCATAAATAAGAACACTATTAATGCTTTATAAGCAATTCATTCAAAAATTCATAGCAAACTCTTTTATTAGGGAAATCCTAAGAAACAGTGTGAACCAACTTACACTGTATGCTAATCTAAAAAGTATCTGCTCATTTTCCTCTTAGATCCAATACAAGTTAATGATCATCACTTAGTACAGTATACTTGTTAATTGATTCCCAAAGACAGGAAGGGGGATGTTTTTAATGGTCATTATTTCAAAGACAAAATGCTTCCTCTTATAACAAACTATGTTTCATACAAAAATAAATAATTACTGTACTTAGTATATTTATCTACATACAAAGAGGGAGAATGAAGGCTGTAATTCTATTGACTACAATTTCACAACACCAAAAATTCCCAAATAAACTGCAAGTGTCAACAATTTATGCAACATACGTTTATATATATGCCATAATGGGTGGTATAACTACCATCCTTTTCCTTCTCATTATCAGTTAATTGGCCCCTCTTATTTTCAACTGCCAAGTCATCTCTTCTCTCTGACCTTTTGTGATATTTTTGAAAAACCCTTTAGGACTTTGTTTTACTTGTCAAGTTGTACATAGACCACTGTACAACACTGTCCTGTTCTACAGTGGTCTGTGTTCTTGACTCAAATTCAGGAATCTTGGGTGTTGGTCTCATGCAGCTTCATGCCCAGATTCCTTTGATGTCGGCGGAACATATTCGGGACACACTGTCAGCGTCACTTTCCCTGCCTCTGGTGGCCTTGATCCCGCTGCAGTGCCACCATCTGTTAGTGTTGAGTCGGCCCCCGGGTGACTCAACAGTTGCTTGAGGCAATGTGCAGGAGCCTGAAATTTGCCTGCATAGTTTATCCTCTGGGCAAGGTATGGCTTTGGCAGCTCTTCTGGTATCTCTTCTGGTATATTTATCTAGTTCAGCCCCTTTCACCATTGACTATTGTTAGGTACACGCCTCATTGGCCCTTTACCGATTGCTGTTTTGAGAGATTACTCTGTGTTTTTTTGGGTTAAGTTTCCTGGCACCTTCCTCTGCCCTCACTCGACGTCTTCATGGATGCCTCAGCTCTGGGTTGGGGCTTTGTGACCAGCACTCGCCAAGCCAGCCCGAGTCATTGGTCTCCTCTCCTTCGTTTGGCTCACAGTACAGTTCAGGAGTTTGCAGCCATGTGACATGTGCTGTGGAGAGTTCAGATTCCTCTGGGCTGTGGGTTCTAACTCCATTCGGACTGTTCAAAATTGAAAAGTTTACTTCGGTACCCTGCCCTTTGGAGTGGGACACTTTGAGTAGCTCTTCTGTCGAGTTTTCAGAGTTTGACTCTGTGTTATTCACGTCCAGGGAATATCCAACATTCTTGCAGACGGGCAGTACTGTTTCCTTACCATTTCTATAGAGTGGACTGTCGATGCTGCCTTCTTCCTGTGGCTTTGCAAGATGTACAGGTTCCCAGAGGTTGCATTGGATTTGCATTGCAATATGCTTGAAATTAGTGCCTTCCTCTGCATGCTTTCCTTTCCCCAATCACAAAGCTGTTGTGGTGGATGCCTTTCAACTGGATTGGACAAGGTGGGAAGGTTCCTGTACCTCTTATACCACCACTCCCTCAGTTCAGCTGTTGCTCCAGATCATGGCCAGGTTGGAGTCCTAACAGCGTAGGGTGATCATTCCGGCTTCTTGGTGGCTGGCTCCGTCTTGGTTTCAGTCGCTGCTTGCTCGGTGTTCGAACCCAAGCATATTTCCACAGCTCCACCTTTATTAGAAGGTCGGCCCAGTGGAATATTTTTAGATCAATCTTTTCCTCGGCTCATTGTGTATGATCTTTTGCCACATCTTAATTGCTATCTTTATGGGGAGTAGGTAGCTTCTTTGATGGTGTCTCACTTGCTTTCTTTTTCTCTGCAACAGTATGAGGTTTCCTTTTGCCAATTCATCTTCCCCTTTGTTTTTTGTTCTTTGGTTTCCAAGCATGTGGTGCTCTTTTTCCTTTCTGCTTCCCTCCTTCCCCCAACTGGGGAGTGTAACGCATGCACTTGGAAGCAGACCATAGTTTTAAAATTATTTATAAGCCGGGTTATCTTGAGGTTATCTTGAGATGATTTCGGGGCTTTTTAGTGTCCCCGCGGCCCGGTCCTTGACCAGGCCTCCACCCCCAGGAAGCAGCCCGTGACAGCTGACTAACACCCAGGTACCTATTTTACTGCTAGGTAACAGGGGCATAGGGTGAAAGAAACTCTGCCCATTGTTTCTTGCCGGCGCCTGGGATCGAACCCAGGACCACAGGATCACAAGTCCAGCGTGCTGTCCGCTCGGCCGACCGGCTCCCTGAACCGGGTATAGCTCATTACATCCCAGATACTTACAGCCGTAATGTTGCACCAATTAACTTGGATTTAAATATAGACACTCGATAAAGGGGTATTGCAAGAATTTCAAATGAAGGAAGAGCGTTGGGCAAATGTAATTAATTATTTAGAAGGTAACGCTCTGCCCTCCAAGAAAATAAATACTCCCATTGCAGAATTTGAGTTAGTAGGTGGGGTGTTGTACCACATTATGGAAACCCCAACTAAATCAGTATGCCAACTGGCTATTCCAGATGCCCTAAGAAATGTGGCCCTTAACCCTTGTGTTGCTCAGGGCTAATTAGCATTTGTCACCCACAGGTGCATACCAAAAAATAAAAAATAAAATTATTTTTTCTTCTAAACCTGTTAATTTGTGTTCTCTGATAATGGGAAAAATAATAAACAAATTACAAGTGGCATATATTGCCCGCTATAGGGCGGGGAAGTCTGGCAAAAAACAGGTGCTGACTCAGCGTGCGTCCCAGACGGTCTGTTGCTCACCAGCTGTCAGGCAGGAGTGACCACAGAGATAATTACCTAATTATTTCAATGTCTCTGATTGATTTTTCGTAGTTTTTTGCTGTAATATTATTCAATAGTGTGTAGTGTGATATATTTATATAATAAAATGAGTGAATCATCACTGTACTAAAAAATATGGTGTGCATATTGTTGATTCAATTACTATGTTCATCAAGCAGTGAACAAATACTTTGTAAGTTATTACACTATATACACAGGTTATACCTGTATATAAGTATCTGCATGTTTTGTTCACCATAACGAACCACTAAGTTGCTATTATGAGTCAAAAAGCAACGTGGAGTGACCTCCACACACCAGCCAGCCACTCGCTGCCACTCACTCCCTCAACACCTCTTTCGCTCACATTCTCCTCCCACCATACTGTTTTTGCTTTTATTCACTATATACTGTACAGACGTTATATATAAGTATCTACATTTGTGTTCACCATAACGAACCACTATGTTGGCATGCTGAGTGGCAGTGGCAGCCCGCCACTGGCTGCTACTTCCTCCCTCTCTCAACTCACCTGACTCACCCACATTCTCCTCCCACAATACTGTTTTTGTTTTTATTCACTATATACAGACGTTATATATAAGTATCTACATGTTTTGTTCACCATAACTGTTCAACTAAGCCAGTATAATGCCCAAAGAGCATAGTGGCCACTCCTACCAACATGACAAATCATGCAGATGTTGCCACACCCATCACCAAAATGGCTTCTCCCCCCCACACTCCTTTTGCTGTTATTACACTGTATATACACGTTATATATAAGTATCTACATTCATGTTCACCATAACGAACCACTAAGTTGGTATGCTGAGTGGCAGTGGCAGTGGCAGTGGCAGCCAGTGGCAGCCAGTCCCTCCCTCCCTCACCTCACCTGATTCGCCACCATTCTCCTCCCAACATACTGTTTTTGCTTTTATATACAGATGTTATATATAAGTATCTGCATGTTTTGTTTACCATAGTGAACAACTAAGCTGGTATAGTGAGTCTGGACTCACTATACCAGCTTAGCTCACTATACTCACTTTTACTGTCAGTCAGACAGTAAAAGGTGGTCACACACAGTCAGCAGACAATACTACCTCCCTCCCCACCAAGATTACTCCTCCCACTACAGCGCTAATTATCACAACAATCCTGTTATTATCAGAATCCTTGGTCATTTTTATCACAGTCAGGCTTATGTTTGCTGAAAAGTATCCATCTTTAACTCAACAATCCTGTAACATAACAGAGTGCCTCATATTTATTCGGTATAAAATAATCCTGTCTTGATCAATAAAACCCAGTTGTGAAATTGTACCCCAAGGTACAATCCACAAGGGCCGTGATGAGGATTCGAACCTGCGTCCGGGAGCATCCCAGACACTGCTTTAATCGACTGAGCTACGACAGGGTAAAAAGAGTTGAAACCGAAGTTTTACTGAACTTAATGGATCCCGTAGCTCAACTCTTACGGGATCTAGCAAGTTCAGTAGAACTTCGGTTTCAACTCTTTTACCCTGTCGTAGCTCAGTCAATTAAGGCAGTGTCTGGGATGCTCCCGGACGCAGGTTCAAATCCTCGTCACGGCCCTTGTGGATTTGTTCATTTGATGCATCAAGTTAGTGTGATCTCTGTGTGTAGTGTACCCCAAGGTGTATTCCTTGTCCCATAACGAATAAGATTTAGTATTGTCGGCTTAAAGTGTTCTGTAGAGTATATATACAGTATATGTATAGCCTTCCCATTATTTATAAGAAAGTAAGAACAGGTTTTGTTAGTTATACTCTAGAGTACAGCTTCCAATCCTGTACCCTTACATTGTATGCATGGGAGTTATGACTATTATGATATACAGTATCCTCGGGTGCCTTAAGGCACTCTGAACACCCCTGATCAGGCCCCTTAAGGCACTCTGTGCAGTGCAGTGATTAACAAATATTAAAAACATACTTACCAAATCATGACAATTTTGAGCATGGACACAAATGTTCAATTCGCACTCATTACGGTTCTCTTCACAATAGTCTCCTTCAAAGCCAGGAGGGCACTGACATACATATGAATTTATTCCATCCATACATGTTCCTCCATTTTGGCATGGATCTGATGTGCAGTCATCAATGTTTGTCTCGCAGTTGCTTCCTGTGTGAATGAACAGAATAAATATAAATATTTGCATAACTTCTTAGAGCAACAACTAAGCATTGAAATCTTAAGAGATGCAGTAATAACAACATGAGGAGGAGAAGTTATCGTAGTGGTCTGATGGCACATTTTTGGCTGTACCCATATAGATCCAACCCTCCTTCCCCATGTATCTATCAAGTGTATTTTTTAAGTTAGCTATACCATTTGCCTCTATGATATTGACTGGCAGCCTAAGGCCAACCTGTTGCCTTCTTCTACCTTGTGTAGGCTCCAGGGATCAAAGGCCCCGCAGCCCGGTCTCCGACCAGGCCAACCAGATGGTCATGTTGTCAACCAGGCTGTTGGTCGCCGCTGCTCACAGCTGACATATAAATCACAGCCTGGTGGATCAGATATCCTTTGGAGGTGTTTGTCAAGTTCTCTCTTGAACACTCTGAGAGGCAGGCCAGTTATGCCCATTATATGTAGTGGAAGTGTGTTGAAAAGTATTGGGCCCTAGATGTTGATAGAGTTCTCCCTCAGCATACCTATTGCACCTCTGCTTTTTAATGAGGCTATGTTGCACATCCTGTCATGTGTATTGGTTTCCTGTGAAGTAAACTTAGTGTTCAGATTTGGAACCAGTCCATCTAATATTTTCCACTTGCCAAACCAATTTTTATCCATATCCTTTCTAAATCTGAACTTATATAATTCAAAATAATATAACTTCTCCACTTTATAGCCATTGTTACAAATTCTGAGCTGGTCTGGTAATTTCAAGGCCTTTATCATACCTCCCATGTTGATACAACATCCACTTGAAGAACTCAAACATGTCTTCCCACACTTTTTGTCACGTCAGAAAATATAGGCAGAGCTTCTTTAGTCGCTCTTTAATACAAGGTCGCAAATATTTGGTATCAATCTGGTAATCATACATTGGATTTTCTGAAGGGACTATGACTACTCTGTAATTCAATGATCAGAAATGAATGATGCCACAGTCTAAGTGGGGCTTCACAAGGGCAAAACAGCTGAAAAAAATATATTTGTACATCTATTGCTAATACTTCTGTTAATAAACTCAAGCGCTCTACTTGCTTTGTAATGCATGTTGATACACTGCTGCCTAAGTCTCGGGTCACTGCCAATCATGATTATCAAGTCACTTTCATAACTCAGTTTGCCTCCCTATATCTGCATCATTCATCTGGTATGCAATGCCACTGTTACTACCAAAATTTAGAACTTTGCACTTATCAACATTGAACTTTATCTGCCATTTTCCTGCCCAGTTCTCCAATACGATGAGATTTTTCTGGAGTTCTACAGAGTACACAATCGAGTAAACTATTCACCCCACTAGATCTCGCATCTGTAAACTTGCTATTATTATAGTTCACTCCAACATTCAGATCACTGACACATATTATGAACAGCAAAGGCTTCAGTACAGACCCCTGGGGCATACCACATGTGACATTTCTCCATCCTGACTTAATCCTTTAGATGATAACATTCAGGTTTCTGTTCTTCAACCAGGTACTAATCCATCTGAGAACTTCCCCTATAATCTCAAGGGGCTCAAACTTCATGATCAGCCACTTGTTGGGCACAGCATCAACCATGGTACTTAGCAAGATCATACAGTATTTATTATTGCTGTGAACATGCTTGTGAAGGACAATAGATTTCAGACAAGGTTATCTTTATAAAAAACCATGTTAAGAGTCCTTTATCGGGCTGCGTGTCAAGTTATTTGGTTATGAATTTGCTATGATAGTACGTATAGGCTGAAAGAACTTTCACGCTATCAACATCAAGTTACTCAAACTTTTTGAATATAGGGACTATGTTGGTCATCATCCAAGCAATAGGGACTCTATTCATTTACTTATTAAATATTTTTTTTAAAAGTGAAGAAACTTACTACAATGCTGTAGTACTTGAATTACGACAAAGGAAAGACCCAATATATGTATAAATGTATTAAAAACCAGATTGTTGGATGTAACCTACATTCTTTATCAAAGTACTGAATATACATAACACTCTTAAAAGTGTTATGTAAATTAACCAAGCCTTGTTAAGGCAGATGGGAACCTACATCAATGCATTGAAGTGCAGCACAAGTAACCAGTGCAACCCACCAGCCAACATCTTCTTGAGGTTATTTTGAGATGATTTCGGGGCTTTTAGTGTCCCCGCGGCCCGGTCCTCGACCAGGCCTCCACCCCCAGGAAGCAGCCCGTGACAGCTGACTAACACCCAGGTACCTATTTTACTGCTAGGTAACAGGGACATAGGGTGAAAGAAACTCTGCCCGTTGTTTCTTGCCGGCGCCTGGGAGCGAACCCAGGACCACAGGAACACAAGTCCAGCGTGCTGTCCGCTCGGTGGACCGGCTCCCCACATACTCCAACCTGGGGTAAGACAGAGACCCAAGACCCCAGACTTACCCGAAGGTGAAGGCAACCACAAGTATTGAGGACCCCTGAAGGAGCTTCACCCAAACACTCTAGGAAAGATGACCATGACAGTGCAAGGGTAGAGCAAGGGGAGCACCCAGGGAAGAGAACCCTGAGTGCATTCAGCTCCAAGAGCACATAACTTCTAGCCCACTCAATACAAGTGTGAAGGGAACAGCCACACAGGAAAACCTCATTAGAATACATACTTGGGCCAGAGCAACAGAGCAAGGAAGTGCACACAACTACCCATCAATTGTGAGCTACACCATCCTCCACTAATCGAGGGGGAGGTTATCTTGAGATGATTTTGGGGCTTAGCGTCCCGGTCCTCGACCAGGCCTCCTTTTTGTTACACACCCCCAGGAAGCAGCCCGTAACAGCTGTCTAACTCCCAAGTACTTATTTACTGTTAGGTAACAAGGGCATCAGGGTGAAAGAAACTTTTTGCTCATTTGTCTCCGCCTCCACCGGGAATCGAACCAGGAACCTCAGGACTACGAATTTGAAGCGCTGTCCACTCAGCTGTCAGGTGTCTCCCCAGGAAGGGGGAAGGTGAATGAACTTGTGCTAGTTTCATTGATTTTCAACTGTTAGTTTACATAATTAGGGAGTTCTTCTGGCAGTTCTCAAGGGTGAAGTCTTATTTAAAGCCAGCAGTGGCTTGTTTTGTTTCGTTTACTTTCTGGGTGCCTTTCCCGTTGGCGGCATTAACAAATAAGTTAATATATCATGTAATTATATTAAGAATTATATATAAATCCCACAGCTCTCTGTGCCTCTGTGTGGGGGGGGTTAGGTTGTGGCTGTGATCCCTGGTAGGCAATAGAACTCCACGAGTGATGGGCTCTAGTAGTATGTACACTAATCAGAGATAGTTGCTTCAGGAAGCAACATGGGGATCCCCTCAGAAAAATATAAATGACTGTTTTGCAAGATTCCTTGAGTATTATCTTACAGCCTGGAATCATGTGAGTATTCTCATGTATCAGGGCACATATACATTTGGTGCAGCTAAATTAAATGGTATTCCTGTTCAAGAAAATACTAAACATATTATCCCCTTTGCACCTAAAGATTTTGTTTTAATGATTCTAAAATCAGGAGCAAGGGGGATTTATACATAGCCCAATGATAGGTACCTTTATTGCACCAGCATACGTAAAATAATTAAGAAACTAAAAACATCTTGCAAGACTTCACCTGTAAACCCAGGAGTACAAATGCAGGTAAATGAATTATCTTGATCATAACAAGAAGCTCCATTTAGGCAGGGAGAGGAGTCACATTCATCAATCTCTAGGCAACTTGGTGGGGAACCTGAAATATATAACATATTTAAAGCTACAAATACAATATCAACACCATCAGTATTCTATTTGAATACTAATGGTGTTGGATATGAAGGCATCAGCTCGACAAAAAACAGTACTGTACTGTACTTACCAATCAGTGCCTATAGGGAAGCGAGATCTAGCTCTCTATGCCCCACTTCCTACCTGTTTATACGTGATATGTTAATTACCTCTCTCAGCACTAACATTTTCATCACATGTTATCTTAAAGTTGTGGATGGAAATGACTTCAACCCAATTTAATCCTTCAATGCATTCCATTTGCCGACCATCTGTATAGAGAATGAAAACTTCCTTACGCCTTTTTAACTCAATTGTGTGTCAGGCTTCCACTGACATCCCTTTGTCCAACTTTTTTTTATTTTCCACTTTGTCTATTTTGCTCAGGATCTTGTATGCAATAATCATATCCACTTCAGTTTTTTCTCTTCTCTAAAGTTGTGAGGATGAGTTCCCACAATAAATCCTCATGTTAAGGCCTCTCAATACTGGTACTAATTTAGCTGCAAACCTCTAAACTTTCTCAAGTTTCTGTTTATGCTTCACAGAATGTGGGCTCCACACACGTGCTGCATTCTCAAGTAATAATCTCTCATAGAAAATATGTATAGACTTGAAAGCCCCCTCCTTTACATTCTTAAATGATGGTCTTATGTTTGCTAACTTCTTACATGCTGACCTGGTCTGCATCCCTCCTCCCCCCAAATGAGAGGGGAAAGATGGGGTAAATGGGCTTAAATTTGTTATCATATATTTACATTGTTTTGGGAGTTCTTTTGGTAATTTTGAGGCATCGATCTTCCTTGTAACCGGCAGTGGTCATTTTTGTTTTGCTGACTTTGCGGCTGCTTTCCCAGTGGTAACTGACATTATTAAAATTCACTGACAATTTCATCATAGTGTCATTGTTCTCTGCACCTCTCTAGAGGGGGGCCAGGTTCTAGCTCGTGGTGACCCCAGTAGGCCAAATAAGAACTCCACTACTAGAGACACCTTGTAGTCTGGCACTATATCAGTATAGCAGCTTCAAGGAGCCACAAGAGGTTACCCCCAGAGAAGAGACATATCTTTTTAATGCTGGATTCAGCACTCACGACATATCTACAAATGCCTTTCTTAATTAGCTTAAATGCCTGTCAAAAAATTATTCATTGCAGAACATTTATTCTTGTGTTTGATGTTACTTGAGGCCACCACTGACAAAATACCTTCATTCTGAGCTAGCATGGAATGAAGGCATGGTACAAGTCCTGGATGTTCAGGACTTGTACCACTGACTTGGGACAGAAAGCGTGTTAGGCTCATAACTGAGGGTCCAGGTAGTACAGTTGGGTTTGTTCACAACTCACAATCGAGAATTCCAGGTTCAAATCCAGAGTGGGATAGAAATGGTTGAGCACATTTCCTATCACCTAATGTCACTGTTCACCTAGCAGTAAGTAGGTAAGCAGGGGTTAGTCAGCTTGTTGTGGGCTTGCATCCTGGGTGGGGTCAGTAATTTGATCTGGGAGGGGGAACTTTGATATGAGCCAAACATGTTATGTTCTGTCTATGTTCTGTTATGTTCCAAACAAAATGTTGAGAAAGAGTCCATTTGCTGTTGTATACAGCACCCTGTGCATCCTTTTATGTAAATAAACTGCTGTACTATTGCTACACCTACTGACTCTACATTGTAATAGTCTATGCCTGGCATCCTTAAGTGTCACCTTTTATGAATTCATTTGTTATTTTCCACAAATGTTCTCATTTTGCTACCTTTTTCTTCTTAAGTATTGTTTTGCACCTCACACCTTTGGTTAAATTTGCTGTCTATTGATTTTATGCTTTTGCGAGAAACGCTTTGCGTAATAGTGGCTCTATAGATTGAGTAACTCTTCTCCCTACAAATGTACATTACTCTTATGTTCTTTGCATGCACATTCATTTGAATAAACATTTGTAATTGTATACCTGAATACATTCTGGCTGCCTGTCCCAGGACACAATTATTATTTTATTATTATAAAAGTTTGACATGACAAATGCAAGACTGTCTGCATTGTCTGCCATCATGTTACTGGTCAGAACCAACAGCTCTTAACCTGACTGATCAAGTGACACACACATCAGGGGGGAGGAGAACAACATAATGTCCTAGTGAGCTACTAAAAAAAAATTTGATCGAGTGTATTCTTGTGGCACCATAGGTGGCCAGCCAAGAACACTAAGCCACTGTAAGTTGAACTATTTAATACTCTTATACAGGTAGATGGTTTGAACTGGCAGAAGTTGCTTGATTAGTCAGACTATTTCACAGTTTCCTTCATTTTCCACCATCACCACTATAAATTTTGTCAAAATTCACTATTCTCTCACATACTATTCATCAAGAAAACTTTTAACTCATTTAAATACATATAACTGACTTTCTGGCATTGAGAACCAGAAGAGTTGAACCATCTGCACACATCTGGCTGTATATACACTATGCTGCCTTTATTCTTATAACACATTGATGCACACCCTTCTCTAATATTCCTACCTTGATATCCAACATGACTTCACTAATATATATAATGAACAATCATGACAGAGCACATCCCTTGTGTACTCCTAACTGTCTCCTACATTAGCATCAGACCAGTCTCATTACACCATAGTACATGCACATTTTTTCTTCCAGAATGAAAGTTATTTACAGCATTTAGTTCAATTCCATCATGTCTATACATGCAAATTATTTTTCATAGACCCATCCCTATTACCATTGCAATATTTACCTTGTTATACTCTCTATAAATTTCCAAATGCCTTCTCCAATAGCTGAATACATACAGATGTGTGACCTCCCCCACACACTTCTCCACAACGGAGCACACCGTGTTCATTACTGTCTCTGATCTGTCTCCTCTTGCCTATGACACTTGGTAGACTATTGCCTCTCTAGTTCTTGTATTTACTACAGTTATGTATGTAAAGGTACAATGACAACAGCTCTTTTTCCACAGTCATTCAGCACATCACCACCTTCCCAAGCATTCTGGCAAACTTTCCACATTTCCTCTCCTCTATTGCATTTAATAATTTCTCAACCTATGTTATCAATTCCTGCAGCTTTCCCACATTTCATCACTAGTACTAAGGCACAAATTTCTTTTCATGCATTACCAAACTACCAAAATATGGAAATAGTTTAAAGACAAAATTTAACAAAAATCTAGTTTAAAATATTTTTGAAAATTTAAACTCTACATAAAACATTTGAGTTCTTTATAAATCCGGGGCAGAGCTTTTGATCTAAGTGAAATAAACCATCCCACTTAATGAGTTCACCCATTAATCCTTACCTGCAAAGCCTGGGCTGCATCGACAAACATACTCATTAACACCATCCATGCAGTAGGAGTTTTCTGGGCAGGACACATTATAGCAGTCATTGATGTTATGCTCACAATTGTCTCCTTCAAAGCCCAGCATGCACGTGCACTTATAACCATTCTGCAGGTCTGCGCATGTCCCTCCATTCTGGCATGGGTCTGATGAACATTCATGCACCTCCTGTTAAAAACACATGCCAAATAGCAGAGTTAACTTTGTAGCAAAGAGTTGGAATTATTAACAAAATTTACATGTTAAACTTAGTCACGATTAAAATATTTAAACAAACGTACAGCACAATATTATAGATATACCAAGGGGTATCTAGAAAAGCGAGTGTCCGCCTATTTGTACGTTTATTTGGCTGCTCGGAGTTGGGGGTTAGAATTTTGGGGCTAGCCTCAACACCTTGGGTTAGGACAGAATGCACATCTGAGCTCAGCACCCCACTTCAAATGACTTTTTAGCCATCTCTGTGTAGAGGAGTCTTGGCAGATACATAGAAAAAGGCAAACATAATTAAAATTTACAAAAATGGTAGCACGGAAGACCCTCTTAATAATAGACCTGTATTGTTGACAAGTGTGATAGTCAAAATGCTAGAAAAATAATTAAAAACCAAATGGGCAGAACCCTTGAAGAGTAACAATAAATTAACAGAAAGACTATGGTTTTCGAACAGGAAGATCCTGTATAACAAATCTACTTAGTTGTATGATAGAACTACAGAAATTTTACAAAAGAGATGGTTGGGTTAACTGCATCTATCTGGACATAAAAAAGAGGCTCTTGGCAGTCCTACAGAAGACGTTGCAAATGTTAGTAGTGGAATACCACAGGATGCAGTTCTTGCACCAGAAATGTTCATTTTCAATATATATGATCTACCAAAAGGAATACAGAATTATATGAACATGTTTGCTAATGATGCCAAGCTACTAGGAAAGATAAACTTAGATGAATGTCATGCCCTCCAAGTATGACCTGGACAAAATGTGTATATGGAGCAAGACTTGGCTAATAAAATTTAATGTGAATAAATGACACAATATGGAATGTGGAATAGGAGAAAACAGTCTACATATAATTTACAAATTATGTGGAAAAAGCTTTACCTAATTCTGATAAGGAAAGAGATCTAGGGGTGGTTCTAGAGAGAAAACTATCACCTGAGGACCACATAACAAATATAGTTATTAGTAATAATAGGATCCTTGCACAATTAATTGTGTAAGGAGCCTGTGCTACACTTCCACAATGCTACAGTCGCTTTCCAACTTCAGAATTGCTTTTAAATACATGTATGGTGAAATACTTAAGAAGCTGTTTATGACCTTTGTGAGCCAATATTGGAATATGCTGCAGTTGTATGGTGCCCATATCTCAAGAAGCACATCAATAAACTGGACACATTGGAAAGACAAGCAACTAAATGACTTTAGGAACTGAGAAACAAGGGCTACAAGCAGAGGTTAGAGGTATTAAATATACCAAAGCTAGAAGAAGAAAGGTCATATAATCACTGCAGGCAAAACAGTAATAGGATTCAACAAAACTGACAAAAGAATTCTTGTAAACTTCATCTTCAAGAACAAGAGGTCATAGATTCAAAGTAAGGAAACAAAGATTCCAAAAAGCATTAGAAATTTCACTTTTGCAAACGGTTGTAGATGGTTGGCACAAGTTAAGTGAGGTGGTGGATGCCAAATCCGTCAGAAGTTTCAGAGCGCCATATGACAGTAGTGTGAAGACGGGACACCACAAGCATAGCTCTCATCCTGTAACTACACTTAGGTACTCACTAGAACCCCTACCTCGATCATTAGCCTCACCCAACCCTTCCAAATCAGTTACAAAATAATAATAAATTACTGTGTCGGGGACAGGAAGCCAGAGTATATTCATACATGTTTGGCTTTTATCAAGGTCCCCCCTTTCCCCAGGGTTGAATTACCGGACCCCGCCCAGGATGCAACCCCACAACAAGCTGACTAACTCCTGAGTACCTAATTTCTGCTAGGTGAACAGAGGCATTAGGTGAAAGGAAAGATGCCCAACCCATTTATGTCCCGCCCGAGATTCGAACCCGTAGTTCTCAATTGTGCGTTGAGAATGAACCCGACTGTACTACCAGAACCCTCAACATGTGGTATTACATGTGTGAAGAGGAAGGAAAAGGTTTCAGCTGGCATACAGGGTGTTAACACTTTCGCGCTATCTGGACGCGCCGGCGCGTTCGGTTTCGTCTAACGTAAACGCATAGTGGACATAAAGTTATGTCAACTTTTAAAATATTTGTATAAAATTCAATTTTAATCCGATTTCATTGGGGTTTGTTTCAAACGACGCGCCATGAAGTTCTCTTTCTCACCACTAGGCCGCCTGGCGCGTCGGCCTACCCGGTCACGTGACGGGCCCATTGTTTTTGTGTCGCGTGTCGTGAGTCGATCACGCTCCCCTCACGCGCCAAACTCGAGCATTTTTACCCGTTTCCGTGTGGATTATACCCAATTACTTCATCAAAAATGGATCAAGGTCAAGGCCCAAGCACTTCTACGCCCAAGGAAGCCTCCAGGTCATCGAGAGTGGACAAAATAACCCAAATTTTTAAGAAGTGGAGCGGAGTGAAGCTCACACCAACGAAAATTCCAGGCCTTGTGGAGGATTTATCAGAAGCTGAAGGTGATGTAGAGGTATTGGAGGAAGATTTTGGAATCCACAACGATTATAGTGTACCTAGAGCTAGAGGGAATGATACGGCAACGAGTGATGAGGAGACTGAGGCCCTCACCGAGGAAGAGGAGGCACCGCGACCCCCTCCTCCTCCTCCATCTCGGCTCACACGTGGTGCATCTAGGCTACCTAGAAAAGTTGCTACCAGACATGTTATTCGTCGTAGGAACACACGACAAATTGCGCCAAGTAATTCTGAAAGTATAAGTGATGAGGAAAGTGATGAGGATTCATTCGAGCCTGCTGAAAGGCGTACACGTACAGTACGTACTCGGCAGGCTGGGGCTGGTGAGGGCTGGAGTCGTAGCAATACTTCTCCAGTTGTTGATGATTTTACTGGAGATCCTGGACTGAAAATTCCCAAGCCTACTAGTGCACTGGCTTATATTCAATTGTTCATCACGCGTGCCCTCCTTGAGTTCTTTACCGTTGAAACAAATTTGTACGCCTCGCAGTTATTCCGGATGGCCAATGAAAATGTATCAGATATTTGGACCCCAGTGAAGGTGAGTGAAATGGCGCGATTCCTAGGACTGTTCATATTGATGGGCATAATTAGGCTCCCAACTATGAGGATGTATTGGCAAACAGCAAAGCCATGGCATGCTCGTTTCTTCAGCTTGTTCATGCCGTCCAGACGATTCCAGCATATAAACCAGTTTTTCCACACATTCAATACCAATGCAGTGCCCGTGAACAATCGTGATAAGTTGATAAAAGTGAGACCAGTGATGGATTACTTGAAAGAGAGGTTTGCTCAAGTTTACATCCCCAAGAAAGAGTTGTGTTTGGATGAGGGTACAATGGCATGGCGAGGCCGACTATCCTTCAAAGTGTACAATCCAAACAAACCAGACAAGTATGGTGTGAAACTTTATATGCTTGCTGAATCTGTCTCTGGGTACATATATGACTTTGACGTATACTCAGGTATTGGTAAGACGATAGTGGATACAGTAACGGGGTTGATGCAGCCTTTAGTGAACCAGGGTTACCATTTGTACATGGATAATTACTACAACTCGGTTACCCTGACAGAAACATTGAGAGAACTTGGGGTGTACACATGTGGCACAATTAGAATGCTACGTGGCGCCCCAAAGGTATTGCAAGCTCTAGCCAAGGGTAAACTTCCACTGGATACCACAGTATACCGCCGCAAAGATAATACCTTCATTCTCCTGTGGAAAGACAAGCGAGTGGTTTCAATCATTACCAACATCCACAATGCAGACACTCAGCGAGTTCAGCGAAGGAAGCGAATTCGCAACCGAGACGGAACAAGTGGAATACAACAGGTAACAGTGAACAAACCGACTGCAATTTGCGAGTACAATAAGTTCATGAAAGGTGTGGACCACTTCGATCAAATGGTTAAATATTACCATTTTACCAGGAAAACTCACAAGTGGACCAAAAAGATTACCTTTTATTTCCTGCAAATGGCATTGCATAATGCCTATGTTTTGTACAAATACAACACAACTGATCGAAAAAAGCTAACATTGCTACAGTTCCACGAAGTGGCAATCTGGGCCCTATTGAACTGGGACACAGACGACTGGCCTAAAACAACATCATCATCTCAACACTTGCGGCACGCTCCAGACATAAATGATGACACAGCTCCTGCAAATGCTGACGCCATGCCAACTCCCGGACCATCTGGTGTGAGGCGGCCTTTGTTCATTACACCACCTCAAGATGAAGCAGACAACGAATCTGAACCCGACATGTCTGCCACACTGCCAGTTGACGAAACTGTTTTGTCAGATGAATCTGACTCTCCTGCAAATCCTTTACACTTCCAGCGAGAAGACCTGGCCGCCCTATTGTTGATTCAGAAAATCGCATGAACACAAACTGAAACATGAAATTTACAGACTGCCCAAACGTCTCAAGTGTCATGTATGCGCACGGTCCGGTAAAAGGAAGGACACGAACATAGGATGCAAGACCTGTGGTGTTGCACTCTGTGTTGTCACCCTGCTACACCAATTACCACCGGAAACAGGTGTATTGGGTGGTGAAGAAGTAACCACCCGCAACAGCTTCACTCCACCTACAAACCATCTGTTGAGCAACTTCAGGAATGAAGAACCTGAAGAAGGTGGAGTGAAGAACAAATGCTCAACTTACTGTTCCACAACCAGCCTTCCCTTGGTAAGTACACCTATTTGGTCCAAGTTTGTGTAGTATAATTTAGCTCATGGAACATTCTATTGCGAAAACATTGGCACAAAAATGAATGACATACATACAATAATAATATCAGAACAGTGAAATAAGTATAAACTTTCAAAGCAACGTTTCGCGCATGTGTCGTCCGGTCACCGTTACCGGGTAACAGTGCGCCCACTTCCCACACTCTTGCGGGTGTGCCGGGACCATTATTCTACGATTATATTCATATCACCGTGTTGGGAATTTTCTTGGGAGTCCATTGATAGCAAAATTAAGGCTGTAGGACAATTGTAGAGGTGATAATAATCCCAAGAGTAAAAACATTTTGTTGCTGTTGAGCGCTCACGGCGACTCATCTTCGTAGTTATTTATTTCATGCTGGTATCTCTATAGCTTTTGTGACTTTTTTTACTGATGTTCTTCTAGGAAATTTTATTGCGAACACGTTGATACCAAAATGAAATACGTAGCATGAAAACTAAGGTCAGAAAAGTAAAAAGAGTATACACATTTTTGTTTTTACGCTTAAGCGATAAAAACGCCGCGCGCACATACGGTTGGCTGAGTGACCTTTGCCGAGAGCGCGAAAGTGTTAAGACTAAGAGGCACAATACACTCTCCAAAATTCAATGTACAGGGTACATCATCATCAGGAAAGATGAAAACTAAAAGAAAAATCATCATTGAAATTAATGAAATATCTCTCTCTGTGGGATACACCACATTAGCTCCCCATGCTTATGGTATCAGCACAGTAGATCCATGTTGGACATGGCAGGTTACTGTGACAATCTTTACCTACTGGGGGCAAGTGTTTTTTTTTTACTTTTTACTGTAACTTGTCACTAAGAAAAGGTAGAGAGACAGTGGAGTCCAACAATCAACCCACTACTGAGGTGAATTGTCTGTGCAATTGAAAGTTACAAAACTTTCTCCAAGAAATGGGCAAAGAAAAATACACAGCAAACAAATAAGACGCCTCTCACAACTACTGAGGAGGCCACCATAGAAATGCTATCTAAGATAATTAGAAGCCAAAACTAAATACTTAAAAAACTTGGGGCACAATTTCACAAATATTAGGGATCAAAGAAGATTTTAACAAAATTTTGATTCCACTAAAAATAACAATCAGAGCTCATTCAAACAATACAAAAGTTTAACTTACCACTTCGCAATGCTTCCCACCATAACCAGGTACACATGCACATTCATAATCTCCATAATGATCAAAACAAGTTGCTCCATTGAGGCAGGGATCCAAAGGTGAACATTCATTTATGTTAACTTCACATATTGTACCTTCATATCTGCAAAGTGAAGTATCCACATTTACTAATTTTTGTATGACAAATTACACTAAAGGTGATAGTAAACTATGAATAAAGAGGATAACAGTCATTTAAAAATATTTACCCAAGTTTAATAAAATCAGAAAAAACCAGCGTTGAATGTAATGAAACGCCATTTTCTGGGTGAGCCCCGGAGGCTCCCTGGAGCTTATCGGGCTAATGTATGTAGACCGGGACATTAGCTAAGGAGTTCAGACCTACCAGGGACCAGCGCCAGAACCTGGCCCCTTCAGAGAGGTTTCAGGGAGCAATGGCCCTGGAAAACCCATTGTGGTTGGGGCTTTCCTTATCTGCCATCGACTGGGGTTAGGCACCCAGAAAGGTAGGCATAACAAAACAAACCCCACATGGTAAAAACTAAAATAAAAGCCGAACATAGAGGTAGAAACTCCCTCCAATCACAAGGAAACAAGCAAACAAGCAAACATCACACTTTACTGCCGCACTGATCGTCCGCGCAGCCCTACCCGCCCCGGAAGAAGGAGGGGGGAGCCCCGTACCTACCGCACCGGCTGCCAAGCTCCAGTTCGTAAGCTAAGCTTCAACCAACGCGAAAAAAACGCCGACCGGTGGGAGGGAGGGTTGCCAGGGAGCCTCCGGGGCTCACCCAGAAAATGGCGTTTCATTACATTCAACGCTGGTTTTCTGTGGGGAGCCCCTACGGCTCCCTGGAGCTTCATACCCAAAGAGAAGGAAAAGAAAGGGCTAACCCGGGAGGCGGCCGCCACAAACTCTGCAACGCAAAGCCAAGACAACCGGTCGCAAACCTGCGACCCAAGGCAACAAGAACACCCAAGAACAGACACACATAAGGATGGGCGGCCAAAAACCTGTGCGACCCACAAATCCTTGCGCCCGAAATGAGCCCGAGACGTCACCAACACAGCAGCAAAAGCTGCAAACGTCTGAACAGCACGGGCGCAAAGACAGACCGCAGGCTGGAAGAATGAAAACACTGCGGACGACCTGGGAGACCCGAGCCCTGAAAACAGGGAACGAAGGAACCGGATCAACCACAGCGCATCCCCAGACACGGTACGCCGGCCGGCAACAGCAAAAAGCACAACCGGACAACACAGGACGCACCCCCAGGCCAAACCAATCAAGTACCAATACCCCAAGAACCCCTCCGGAAAGCAGCCGTCTCGACCTTCGCCAGGACAGAGAAAGGCTGCACACCTATAAAGCTACCACCAGTACCAAAGAGCAGGAAACTGAACCGAAGGGGCTACCACAAACTGAGGGGAAGATAAGAAGGCACCCTGAACAAGGACCAGGATGGCTCAGGCGACGCATGAGCAGGCCGGAGGGGAAACAAAACACGAGAAAACGTATGAAACGTCATACTGTCTCCAAGACGAAGCTCGCAGGTGGATCACCGTCAACAAAGCCATCTGAACACCATAGAGATGGTGATACCCGCGTCAAAATACCAGACGCGAAGAGCCAAGGAGAAGGCCGAACCAGTCACGGACAGGACCGATTCGGCCTGCTGAAAGAGGCGGAGCCTCAGGAAAAACGCCCCGGGTACGGACACCTATCAAGCAGCGTCTGAAAAGAAGGCCGGGCCGGCCACCATGGAACCATAAGGACTGTTCTCGTGGGAATAGGCTGCAACTGAACCAGAATCCGAAGCAACAGCTGGACCGGGAGAAGAGGAACAGATACCCCCCACCTCGACCAGTGCTGCCGAAAGCCTCCACCGTGAAGTCCTCGCAGGTGGGAAAGGACGCCACAAAATGGGCGACGCCTAGACCATGCTGACCCGAAGACGTCCATGGCCAGGAGTCCATATGCCCGACAGAGCCAACAAAACGAATCGGCGACGACTGGCCAACCCACGAAGAGGAATGAACCGAGACAGCTGTCCGCCAGGACGCAGGACACACCCCAGACACGAATCTCACGGTTAGCCAAACCCCTGTGGTTCCGGCAAGAACCACCAGAGAACAGTCCGAACAGAGCTGAATGGTAGAGTACCTAGTGACCCAAACCCTCCAAAGCGCAAACCAGACAGCCATGAACACCCGAACCGTGCTGTGAGCCCGACAGACAGACAGACTCCATCAACCTCGGCTGACCTGGTGAGCACTGGTCACAAAGCCCCAGCCGAGAGACGACCCGTCCATGAACACATCGAGCGAAGGCTCGGGGAGGCGCCAAGGCACGGAACCCCGAAAACCCCAAAGAGGAAGCTGGTGACGCAGCACCAACACAAGATCCCCGGAGGAACCCAATGAATGCAAGAGGCAGAAGGGGAGTCTCCGCAGGAACCAACAGACGCCATAGCCAAACCTGACTCCGCGGGCAGACAAGCACGCCGAAGTGCAGAACCCCGCACAACCGCTCAAGCAACCGCCGAGCAACCCGGGACCCCCTCCTGAACAGCCAAAGGCGGGACCACAGCCGCAGTAACACTTCTGGAGGAAAGACAATGAGGGGCCCAAGAGCCTGAAACAAGGCCCAGGTCCGAACCCGGGACGGAAACAGATGGAAAAACCTCCAGATCACCAGGAAACCAAACCCGGCGATCTGGAAAGAACCATCCCCTGGCGAGCAGACAAGCGGACTGACTGGGAGCCCACACCAGCCAGTTGTCGAGGTAGGCCAGACACCGAATCTCAGACTCAGACAGGGCACTAAGATCCGGTAGAGATGCAAAAAGTATACGAAGTGCCCATTACAAAATAGGGAAGGCAATAAAAACAGCAAACCTGAAGCCCCACCACCAACCGTGCTAGTCCCAGAAAAACTGGAGAGGAACGTGCCAAGAAGTGACCTGGAGGTCCAGGGCCACCATCCATGCACCCGGCCCCAACAGAATCCGAACAGGAGACAACAGTCCTCCGAGGAGGGCATAGGATCCAGGGCGCAGACTGAAGAAGTCCAGAAGAACTGCAGACGGGAAAAGCTCATGACTGCAAAGAGCAGACGGGAACCCCAGAAGGATGGGGCGGATCGACCACGCCCCACGCACCCACGAAGAGGAAATGACGAAGCGCAGGGAAAGAAGCCCACCCCGCCAGCTCTGAACCCCCACAAGGGGGAGAAGCCGTCCTCCATCGCCAGCAGAGGCCGGAAGACAACCCAAAGCGCCCACCAACAGCGGGACCATGCAAAAGGCAACAGAGCAAGCTGCTCCCCCAGCGCCCAGTCAACAGAGAAGGGAACAGAACCCCTTCCGAAAGAAAAAGTACACTACCTAAGTCATGAGGAGAGACTACGGGAATTAAACCACACTTCGCTGGAAGACGAAGAGTGAGGGGAGACCTGATCACCACATTCAAGATACCCAAGGGAATCGACAGGGTTGAAAAGGACAGGCTATGTAACACAAGGGGCACACGCACTAGGGGACACAGGTGGAAACTGAGTACCCAAAAGAGCCACAGAGATAGAATTTTTTTTTTTTTTTTTTTTTTTTAGTGTCAGAATGGTAACGGGAAAGCACTAGGAAGTAATGTGGGGACTCCACACACAAGTAAACGAGGCTGACCCCCATACAATGTCACATGTAGACATGATAGAGCCCAATAGGCACAGGAACCTATACACCTGTTGATAGACGGTTGAGAGGCAGGACCAAAGAGCCAGAGCTCAACCCCCGCAAGCACAACTAGGTGAGGACATATATTGTAAAAGTACAAGTCGCCGACTAGTGGGCAGAGAGCACTACGCCAGCCAGGCAAAGAAGGCACAAAACTGCATCAAAAGGCCCACCTCGACAGCAAAACTGCAAAGTCCCAGCATGACCACACCATGTGCCAAGACCCAAAAAGATCAGTCTGCAAGCCAGGAAAACCCCGGAACCCCAGAAGGCAGAACCGGGTCACACGAGGAAACAAAGTCCCCTGAACCCACAAAAGGGGCCCAAGAGGAAGAAACCTCCAGAACGGAACCAAGGAACCCAAAGGAACCCAGAATCAAACCAGGGGGAGCCCAAACCACCACATTTGCCGGCGGAGAACACCACTGAAAGGCAAAGCACAGCCCCCAGCAGAACCCCCTGGGAAAACGGTCCCAACAGACCGAAAACCAAGGGACAAGGTGTGGGAGCAAGCATACCAGCCAGGGGCACTGAGCCGAAACTTAAAGGCTCAGACCCAAAACAGAAAAATTGGAAAAACCCGTTGTAAAATCAACACCCAAACGTTCCCAGAGGAACAGGCAACGGCAAGAAAACACTAGAAAAACAAAGAAACGACAACAGGAGAACAAAAACCCTGAAAAAAAATTGAAAACTCGCCTGAGACGCTCGCTTGCACACCCAGACGCATGTAAACAAACCGCAACGCTGCCCTGGTGGCCACGCCGTGAAACCGGCAGACGAAAATGGCCGCCAGCAGGGGCTGAGACTGATGCTAAATACACAAAAACACGCAAGCAAATGTGGGAAGCTAGCAGACTGGATGGGCGAAAAACGTCGCCTAACAGCAGAAAAACCCCGGCAGGGGCAAAACCGCCCCAGAACTGCTAGCAGGCATCCCCCACAGCCCCGGGAACCAAAAACAGAGGCCCCGGGGCAGAGCCGTCCTCCAAGCCCTCCGCCCTTAAAGAAAAGCAAGAGTCCATGGTAAAGGCAACAAGAAAGGGCCGCTGGTAAGACCCAGAAGCCTTGGCAGGAGGCACAGGCTCAAACTTCCGTCCCCAACCCGAACAGGGCAGCCCCCGAAAACCGCCAGAGTGTCTGCCACAACTAAACCCCGCCCCGACCCCGAAACCCGCAGACGGTCCGGAGCCGGGAACATGGAGGGAAAGGGGCGAACAGCACCTAACCAAACGGGGCGGCCACGGGGCATTCGAGTGGGAAACCAACCTAGCATGTTGCAGCAATCTAACCAAGCTTGCAACGCGGATGCCGCCTGTACTCTGAACAGTAATAACATCAGGAGAGTACTGGAGAACAAGCAGCGAATCACGCGCAAGACTCCGGGTCAAGGTGTCAGTGACCCAACAGGCAGCATGACGGAGGTAAAAATGGCGACTGTCACCCGGAGACAAGGGAACAGCAACCAACAATCCCGTACAAGACGGGTTGGAACCCGGAAGACACATTCAATGGTCCCCCGAGCCCAGACAGGGGATTCCAGGGCCCATAGGATAACAATTACGGGAAGCCCGGGCAAGGTGTTGCTAACCGGTTAAGAAACCCAAACATAACAAGAGGGTAGATTATAGCACTGAAAACCCCTGAGACGTGTACAATCATGGGGGCCTAGAAGAGGGCCGCCAAACACTACCAGTGGAACTATAACCACCTTAGGCATACCCCCACCAGGCATGAAAAAATTAAAAACAAAAGAAAACCCCCGCAAAAGTACAACGTCTCCAGAGGCAACAGAAACCAGCCGCTGCTTAGGTGGCAGGCTGTGCAACACCTTGACACCCTAACCAGCACAATACCAATCCCTACCCAGGGCCAAACAAGGGCCCCAAGCCCCAGCTGGCCTCAAGGGCGAGGCAAATGCCGAGCAGCAAGAACCTCTACGGGAATGGTTCCCGAACGCCCCAGGGAAGATAACCCTGTAACGCAAGGGCAGTACTCACAAGGCGCTTAGGGAAGTCAGCCACTAAGCACATGCAGCCCCGGCACTGATGAAGTACTCCTGGCCACCGCACAACACAACACACGGCAGTGAACGCCACACAAGGCAAACACCGCCAGGAAACTGAGGCCAGAGAAGCGTCAATCCCGGTTGACATTAGCGAACGAACTGGAGCTTGGCAGCCGGCGCGGTAGGTCCGGGGCTCCCCCCTCCCCCTCCCGGGGCGGGGAGGGCTGCGCAACAGTAAAGTGTGATGTTTGCTTGTTTGCTTGTTTCCTTGTGATTGTAGGGAGTTTCTACCTCTCTGTTCGGTTTTTGTTTTAGTTTTTACCATGTGGGGTTTGTTTTGTTATGCCTACCTTTCTGGCTGCCTAACCCCGGTCGATGGCAGATAAGGAAAACCCCAACCACAAGGGGGTTTTCCAGGGCCATTGCTCCCTGAAACCTCTCTGAAGGGGCCAGGTTCTGGCGCTGGTCCCTGGTAGGTCTGAACTCCTTAGCTAATGTCCCGGTCTAATATAACATACATTAGCCCGATAAGCTCCAGGGAGCCATAGGGGCTCCCCACAGAAAAACCAACATTGAATGTAATGAAATGCATTTTCTGGTTTGAGCCCTGGAGACTCCCTGAAGCTAACAGACTGATATGCGCTATTGTCCGTTAGCTTCAGTCTAGAGCATCAGTTACTTTGAGGAAGTAACTGATGCTCTGATGCTTCCGGAAACCACAAGCCAGAACCTGATTCCCTCAGAGAGGAATAGGGAGCAATGGTATATGAGCACTCCACTTTGTGAGAGTAGTTATATCTGTCATTGACCGGGAGTATCACCCAGAAAGGTAGGCAAACTATTACAAACCCCTACTGGTAAAACATTGCAACCCAAGACCAAATAGAGCCCAGAACCCCCTTCCCCTCAAGAAGCAACAACAAACAAGCAAATATCTAATCAACTAGTGCACCCGCTCGTTAGCAACCCTCCCTCTCCCACGAGGGGAAAGGGTGCCCCATCCAGGTGACCCAAGTGCTGACACCGGCAGTTTGTAGACTGAGAACAAACCGCCGACCGGAGAGAGGGTGTCAGGGAGCCTCCAGGGCTAAATCTGGAATATGGCACTTCATTATATTCAACCCTGGGTTCCTTACGTGAGCCCCATCAGCTCCCTGAAGTTATATACCCACAGATAAGTAAAAGGGACTTATCCGGGAGGTGGCAGCACTGCATGCCTCAAGATGAAGATGGGACAACTGGCCACGACAGATGCCCCAAAGCCACACAAGTCCGCTAAGTGCCCAGAACGTTAACAAGATAATGGGCGGCCAGGATCCTGTTCGATCTCCAAAACCCGTGCCTGAATGTCGATCCAAGACATCTTACCAAAAACTGCAGCAAGAGAAACTTCCGCACATTATGAGTACGAGAACAGACTGGAAGCTGGCTAGATTTGACAATCATGTGGACAACCTGAGAGAACCAAGGCTTGGAACATGGAACGAGGGAAACCAGAAACCAGTTTTGGGAGTTCTGCTCTGCGAGCCTAGGCTTGATTGCCGGACCAGTGTCAAAGCACCACCACCTAAGAACACCTGAAAGATGGAAATCACTTCCTGCTACTCAAGCGTCCGGATTCAGAAGACCTACTAATAAAGAAAGGAGGAGAATGTCAACAAGAGAGGATGAATCAAGGACCTTGTACCCAAGTCAAAAAACCAAAGCCAGCCTAAACTCTAAAGAGGGGTGGGTTCATAAGGAAAGCAAGGCAACTTTCTTTTGCAGAAAGAACCCAAAAATGCCTGTATATGCCAACAAAGGTGAAAGGTGGGATGACAGAAACCTCTGGAAAAACACAATTCCGCAGAACCGATTGAGACATGAAAGCGCTCTCCAGGGGAACAGCCAAGTAATTAAGTTCATAAAAAGAAGGGGAATAGGAGTAGTCCTTCCCCTGGCGCCAAATACCCTCTTCAAATGAAACCAAAACCCAGGAGCTGTTGAAAGGTACCCACAGATCCCTAGAAATACCCATTCCCACCAACCCCAGGGTCCAGCTATGAAAATTCAGGAGCTGAACCATATTTCACACTAGATGCCTGGTACTGACAGAAAATATCCAAGAGTAGGATTAAAACCTTGGGAACTGTTGTGAAGGCAAAGGCTACACATCTCCAACGGGAAGGGGCAACTCAACTGTCTCCACTATCAAAGTGGATGGGATAACCCACTGAGTTGGTAAAGCGACATTCACAGCTAAATACTTGCCCAACTCTGGTATCCTCAGAAGTTTCAAAGCCTGAACCAGGATAGAAATACCAAAGACCAGCTGGAATTCACCAACCCAATCAAATCAAATCCCAAGACACTAATGGGGGGTCAATGCTGGGACATCCAAATGAACACCATGTTGCAAACCACAAAAGTGGGAAAAATGTACCCACAAAGCAGATTCTGCCTGAAAAGCCTCTTGTCCCAAGGCAGGCTCTGATAAGACACCCAATGAATATAAATGTTGCAGTACTCTGTGTTGAAGGCATCAGAGTCCCAACAGGCAGCATGGCAGAGATAGGCAGAATAATCATCAGCAAGTAACAAAACAGACGAGCACCCTTCAAACTTGCATGTAGCGAGAGCGGGCTTGATAGTTTGGTCCATTATGTGTCACTCCATAGACCTGCAGGGAAGTTGCCAGAGCCTAAAGGCAATTAACCAAGCAGGACACCCAGACACTATGGACATTCGCTAGAAGAACAGACATTGAATGCAGCCTATTGTATAAACTTGACTATGAAGGGTGTCTATGAAGTGCTATATAAACAAGAGCACAAACCCTAATATACCCCACAACAAAACAAAACAGAATGCCAACAGCTGCAAAGTCTTGCAGAAGAGTCAGTGACTCATGCACTACCCTGAACCAGCCTCTTCATTCTGGTGGCCTGGCCTGGCCTCTCAAGAATGAAGAGACGCCAATACACCATATAACAAATGGGATGCACTAGGCAGTGATGAGGTGAAGGCTAACTCCATACACAGTTTCAAATGTAGATATGGTAAGAGCCCAGTAGGTTTAGGAACCTGTGCACCAGTTGATTGACAGTTGAGAGGTGGGGACCAAAGAGCCAAAGCTCAACCCCTGCAAGCACAATTAGGTAAGAACAACTAGGCAAGTACCACAGAAGGTACCCAGACAGTGCAAGAGCAATGCAAAATAAGCACTTAGAGAAGGATCCTGTCATTTTCCTAAACATGAGCTAAACATGTGCAGCTCTAAGTGCATGTTGAGCCAAGTCAACTCAAAGAGTGCAGCTTGAAAACATGCTCATGAAGCAAATACTCAAAACTAGATATGATACACTAGTAAAATGACTGCCACAAGACTGAGTCTAAAGGATGGCCAGCATAAGTTGGCCTTACTAGGATGAGGTGACTAGGGATGGCCAGATGCAGAACAACTTGCATCAGAAACAGCACCAAGTCACTGACTTTGATGCCAGGAGTTCCAGGACACCATCTGTTGGCAGCTCATCACACTAAGGGGGGTGTTTTGTACCCAGTTTCAAGTGAATCATATCATTCTGAGTGATTCTTTTACAGTGTCTGTTGGGTGTTTTGGTGGTTTAGTTTCATGTACCATGCAGTTGTCTGTATTGTTTTGTCTACTTTCTGGTTGCTTTACTGGTGAGGGTGATTGTAACACTCCCATCCTCTCTGTGCCTCTTCAAGGGGGCTAGGTTGTGGCTGTGGTTTCCAGTATGCTAACAGGATACACACACGATATGTGACTAAATAATGGGAAGCTATCTCAGCTTTAGGAAGTAAGCAAAGGGCTTCCTCCAGAAAAAACATTAGTCCAATAAAATATATCAAACATGTAATTCACTTCCAAAACACTATACTAATGTATATTAAATCCTGATATGAGCTAAACAAAATTAATTTCCTAATAGAATGAAATTAAGATTCATACCCAGTGCCTTCACAGTTGCAAGTGAAGTCGTTGACACTGTCGATGCAGACACCATCATGCCAACACGGGTGTGAGGCACAATTGTCAATGTTTACCTCACAGTGGTACCCACTGAACCCAGGCAAACAAAGGCATTCGTAGGTGTCGGCAAATGAGGTTACATTACATGTTGAATTGTTCTGTAGGCAAAGACAGTGTGCATTAGTATTGTTGCTATCAGAAAAATTTCATAATATTTAGTCTTCAATCAATTGAACATACAGTAGTTCTAAATTAGATCTAATTTATATCTCCAGACAATGCAAATTGTAAGAAATATTTTACAAGCAAGAAATGGCAAAATTATTATATGCAAGGGAAGAATTATTCAATTTCATATAATATTTGTGGCAAACATGTTTAATATTGCTGCAAGAGGATTTACCATAAATATTGTGCTTAGAGAAGCACATAATCCATTTACAGTTTGTAACATTTGCATATACAGTATAGTATACACAATTTATATAACACGGCCCCTTCAATTGCTCTTCTATCAATTGGGTCAGCACCAGCAGGAATAATAGAGTCTGAGGTGGTGGCAACCTACAACTTGCGTCGGGTGTCCACCACGTGAAACAATCAGTTACTGAGAGGCTGATTCAGTAAAGTTGATTAGTTATTCTCTGATATTATGTCTCTGTGGAGTGCAGTGCAACTCCTCTCAAGCTAGGATACAACCTTGGTAGTGCCACAAGGACTTGAAGCACTACCAAGGAGTACAGTACTCTACATTTCTCACACTGAAGCTGGTATTTACAGGGCCGCATACACAGTCTCAGTGTGGTGGTGGCATTTGTATTGATATATTGATCATATCATTTGTACCCAGTTTCCAACTTGCATCAGGTAGGTTTATTTACCTTGTTTCTTAATGTTCCAAGTTCATTGATACCCTGGCAAGTTTAGTCTTTTTTATGCTGTTTACAGTTTGCCCTGATGGTTTTTGCAGTTTCCTCCAGTGTGCCTCTTGACAATTCAAAGTTGTTTTCTCACCTATACAGGTACACCATTGTTAGGACGCCTTTCAGTTTAAGCTGAGCCTCCATCTCATTCAATAGCTTTTGCACCTCACAGTTTGATTGGAAGTTCCCTTTTGGAGTTAGCAGGCCTTATTATCATCAGCTAGAGCTCCCCCAATTATGTAAGCAATGTCACGAGAGCGTATCTTAGCAATCATGATATAGGCAAGTTTGCTGCTTTGACAGCTTTCTTCATGGTGCCTGTGTGACACTTTGGTGTGTGCACGCCCCTGACATTCTTTGGAACTGGGACTTCTTCGGTCATTCTTTTCCCTAGGGTAAAGCCCAAGAACCCTTTCAATTTGTCAAATTTCTCTTTTGAGCTTGAGGCAGCATCCTCACTGGACGCTCTACTGTGATTAAGGTTGGGAGTCTACTAAGGAAGCCCTACCAAAAATCAAGTATTGACTATAGAGAAAATGCTCTTTTCTGGTAAGACACAGTAGGTCCCCATTTCCTTCTTCCCATGGGTTTGTGGTTTGACACAAACAGCTCGGAATTTCTACAGGATTTCTGTAGGGATTCCTAGAGGGTTCCTGTAGGGATTCATACAGGGTTACTTTAGGGACTCCTACAGGATTCCTGTAGGAATTCCTACAGCATTTCTGTAGGGGTTCATACAGCATTCCTGTGTTAAGTTAGGGGATAAGCCAGCTAGGACTATGGGTGATTTGGGCTGCCAACTTTTGGAGGTGAGGTGCATCACAAAGTGGTTCCCCTGCAGAAACGATTACTTGCATTGTTTACATACTCTTGCTCATTTTTTATCACACTGCCTTATATACTGTATATTCCCACCTCATAAAAGTGAGAAACAGGGTAATAATAAGTTTGTATGTGAATAAAACATTAATTCAAATATAGTACAGTGGTCAACAGGCCACTGTTGCACAGCTTGCACCTGAGGCTGTCCCTGAATCCTGTCCCTGGATTGAATCCAGGGACCTGGATTCAATCCTCAGGCAGGACAGCAATAGTTAGGCACATTTACTTTCACCTGATAACACTTAGTATTTAAATAGGTACCTGGAAGTTAGACCATTGTTATAGGTTGAATCCTATTGCCCAAAAGGGGTCCTTGATAAGCCCAAGTAAAAGCTTCCAATCACTGACAAAAGGGAATCATAGCAACAAGGGATACAAACCATAGTAATCCAAGATCACTGTGACACAGGTACAACTGCTATTTACGACATTTAACCCTTCTACTGCATGACATGGCTGGGGATGAGCTTCCTAATTATTCATCAACTGTGCAACACAGTTGGGGACGTTTTAAAGTACTGTATAAGATTAAAAACTTCTGCGGGTACACTGGGCTCACATCTGCTTCCTCAGGCCTCCAGTAAGCAAATACAAACTTCTAAGCACCAATTTACTGTAAGGAAGGGGTCTTTTTTTGGAAGAATGTGTTAATGCTGATAATGCCTGATAACTCAACTGTGTTGGTTTGTAATGGAAAGCCTTGGAATTCCTGCCAGTGCAGTGGCTAGTTCTGCACATGTGTAGTGCACTGTCATAGTGTGAGAATGTTCCCCCTCTAAAAGAATATAAACATAAATTCAACGAAAGAAAATAAATCGTTTCGAGTACATTCAGTGATTGAAAAATGTGTAAAAATCAGTGCTAAATGTAGGAAACCAGTTTGAAACTGAATGAAACAAAAAAAGAAATTGAGGATATGATTTGAAAAGAAACATTACAACTGAACCACCAGTGTTCCAATACAGTACTGTCATTGGAACGCTAGTAGTTGGACAGAGGAGCGTGCCGATAATTCAACCCATCCTCCTGTTTAGATAATACCTAGTATGACGATCGTCAATAGTCACAAATTCATACGCACTTAGCTTTTAGATAGTAGTATACTGACTAGTAAGAAATTCTTTTAAAATAAATGAAGCTAAAACACAAACTTAAATATTCCTAGGCCTATCAAAGAATATAGTACACATATGTACTATATTAGGCCTCAGATATTGAGTATTAGGCCTTGGGAGGTTAGGTGAGGTTACTTTAGTTCGTCAAAGCAACACAATTAAAAAATAGTTTTCTGGTTTGTCCAATTCAATAGTTCAGATTTCTACTTTCTAATTTCGTTGTACAGTACTGTACATCGGTATGTATACTATGGTCCTCATCATTACTATAAATACTACCAAACAAGAGGATGAGCTGGATAATTTGTTCACTTAGCTGGATTTGGGCACACTGTGCTGACCGGCTGACATTCAGTGGGATGCTCGGCAGTTTTCAACATTACGAAAAGTGCAGAGACGTTTATGGTGCTATTGTTATTTCTAGGATAGTTAGGTGTAGTATTTATATATAAAAATTATGTACATGTTCCAGTGGGCAGCTGGTATTTAGTGTTGGTGATCCATCCATCATCATAGTATGAAATATTGCTGAGCAAATGGGTGTTCTACCTGTCATTGTCCATGATATCTGTGTGTTAACTAGTAAGACCTTTGTCTTAGTGTATCAGGAAATTGCAATTAAAGTTGTGAGAAGATTGTAAAATAACATCTTGTCTGTTAGAATTTCTGGAATTTGCAAGTGAGAATGTAATGTAAAGTAAAGACTTTAAGTCCTGGTTTTAGTGGGATCAGTATTCAAAGTAACTCTTACGAGTAGTACATGCTTTGTGAAAATATTACGTACAAAGAACCACTTGGTTTCTGAACTTTAGTTATCCGAAACTTCCAATTTCCCGATTGGGGTTGGGGAGTCATGCTACACGAACTAAGTTCGGGTAGGAAGCAGTCCGCCAAGCCTCACGCCGGCCGGGGTTGGGGTTACCCTACATGAACCATCTTGCAGTCTCCGTGGTGTAGTGGTAAGACACTCGCCTGGCGTTCCGCGAGCGCTATGTCATGGGTTCGTATCCTGGCCGGGGAGGATTTACTGGGCCCAATTCCTTAACTGCAGCCTCTGTTTAACGCAACAGTAAAAAAATGTGTACTTGGATGAAAAAACGATTCTTCGCGGCAGGGGATCGTATTCCAGGGACCTGCCCGAAATGCTACGCGTACTAGTGGCTGTACATGAATGTAACAACTCTTGTATATATCTCAAAAAAAAAAAAAAAAAAAAAAAAAAAAAAAAAAAAAAAGTTCAGGTGAGGAAGTGGTCTGCCAAGCATTGCGCCAGCCCGTGGTTGTGGGTGGGGTGGGAGATGGTTTAGTTTGCCCACTGACCGTGTCGGGCCCCACCACTCTAGTGCCTGCTACCCTGTGACGTCACAGATTCACGGCCTAGTGTTCTCATTGTTTGAATTTGTCACGAGACTGGAGTGTTCATTCCGTGACTTTGTTTTACATATCAGCACAATCAAGGAACATCCGTGCACCATGTCGGCTCCAAATGCACGCATTGTGTCAGTGAAAGCATCAACAAGCGGGTTACGTAAAAGAAAGAAGTCAGTGATGACATTTGAGAAGAAAGTTGAAATAATTAAGAAGGTGGAGAGCGGTGTCCCGAGAAGTGTCGTGTGTGCTGAATATGGCATTAGCAAAAGTACTGTTTTTGATCTTCTTAAGGCTAAACCTATCATTTTTTACTATTTCTCTAAAAGTAAAAGTTGTAAGGCAATATGAAATAGAAAGATAGTAAGTAAAGCAAAGGTGGAGAGTGTTGACAATGCAATGTGGGAGTGGTACAAACAGAGACGTGAGGTGGCGAAGAAGCCAGTGGCAGGCTGGCTGCTTGTGGAAAAGGCACATGAATTTCACCAATCAAGGAAAATTACTCAGAAGTGTGTACTGTATACAGTGATGGATGCCTCAGAAGCTTTGAAACCCGTCATGACATTAGGTTCATTAAAGTACATGGTGAAAGACAATCTGCTGATATTGTTGGTGCTGATGAGTATGCAAGTAAATTTGTAGAGATGGTACAGGAACAAAATTTATCTCCAGAGCATATTTATAATGCTGATGAGAGAGGTTTGTACTGTACTGGCGTATGTTTCCCACAGACACGATGGCTCATAGTGGTGAGGACAATCCTTCAGGTGGTTATAAACAGAACAAACAGAATTTCTTTGTTGTGCTGTGTAAATGCAGCTGGCATGCACAAATTAAAATTACTTGTGATTGGAATTAGTAAAAACCCCAGGGCTTTAAAGTCAGCCAGAAGCCTCCCTGTGATTTATAAGGGCCAGTCAAGTGCGTGGATATCTAGAGTAATATTTGCCGAGTGGTTTAATAAGAACTTTGTTCCTGAGGTGAAGGAGCACCTGAAAAGTGTTGGCCTCCCGCAAAACAGCAACGCTGTGCTGCAGCTAGATAACAGATCAACGCATCCACGAGGTGATGAGCTAGTAAATGGCAATATTATTGGAACGTTCTTACCACCCAATACAACTTCAGTGATCCAACCCATGGATCAAGGAATAATTAAGAACCTTAAACACTACTACAAGAGGATGTTTGCCAGATGTCTTAATAATCAGCTAGGAACAATTAAGGACTTTTATAAAGTCTTCACAATAAAGTCAGCTATCTGAACTATTGCTAGTGCATGGGATGAGGTACAGCAGACAACACTAAGAAATGGTTGGAAAAAACTTTGGACCACGTCAAGTCTGTTTCCTGAGGAAGATGACGAGGCAAATTTTGAAGGATTTGCGGTGAAGAAAGAGGATTTGCGAGAGGAAAAAATTAAGAGAGGAACTCCTGGCCTATGTCAAGGGGATTAAGTCCCCTGAGCTGAGAGCAGAACTGGTGACTGAAACAATAGAAGATGACATAGATAGATGGATAGATTTTGATGAAGCAGCCCCAAACAATCGAAACATGACTAATGATGAAATTATAGAATTAGTATGTACAGCAAAAAAGCCAGAAGAGTGTAATGAAGAAGATGGAGAGGAAGAGGAAGAGGATGAAGAAACATTAAAGGAAAAAATGTAATATGGAAAAAGTTCAGCAACATTTTGAAGACATTGTGGCATTTATGGACACGAGTTACAGCGAGTTTGAAACTAAGGACATGATGAGTCAGTACGATTTGTATATCGAAGTTTTTAAAAACAAGATCAAAGGGAATGAAACAAATGTCAATTAAAGAGTCTTTTGCAATGGCTTCCAAGAAAGCTCGCATTGCATCACCTACACCTTGTATGTACTAGCTCTATCTATAATTCTATCAATTTTTGTATAACTTCTTGTATGTATGTACTTTACCTGAATAAACATTTATTTATTATTTATTTATTTACCTGACTCGTCACATGTTGACCCAGTCAACCCAACAACTTCAGTCAACCCAACACCATCAACATCTACCACCACCTCTTCCATGTAAATAACTATGTTTCATCAACATCGATCATCAACATAAGCGGATCAGGACTTCAATTATTGGTGAGTACAAATAAAATATGGTCGCATTTATGTTATGAACCTGTCGATTTTTTCCCCTAGAGTTTTTCATCCATATTTTTTCTATATTTTTTTTTTTTTTTAATTTCTAATTTTTTCCCCTCCATTTCTCGTTTACGAACTTACATGATGGTCAACGGGTCTCGACCCCAAGGGATTCGGAAACCAAGTGGTGCTCTATATTTCCATTTTAATAGTTATCCTGTAAAGTAGCAGTAGCTTTAAAGACTAGAAATAAAACCCTTTGTAGAGATAAGATGCTGACACTTCCTGTTACCTTAACCTTGGTTAGCCCATAAAGGTGAAGAGTGTCTGCTCTGGTACGTGTAATTAATTAAATACTGTCTGTATTATTATTGGGCATATCCTAGTGACATTATTTTATAAGCAGCAAGGATGGGTTTTGGTAGCTCGTACTCTAGGTACGGCTTAGAAGCTCATGCCCTTACGCGCATGCTCCCATCCCCCTTACATTACTACTAGGTGAATAGAATCATCAAGTGAAAGGAAACATGCCCAACCATTTGCCCGGGGATGGAACCAAGGATCCTCGATTGAAAGATCAACTCTAATGGACATGCTGCTTTTAAAAAATCTTGTAATCATAAATGGATTTTCCATGTTACTAACTTACAGAATTTTTTCCTACCTGACACAGACTGCCGATATTCTCGCAAAAACTCTCGTCGATGGGTAATTCACACTTGGAACCTGTAAAACCAGTACGACAGGCACAAGTTGTGATATTTCCCTGTCGGTCTTCTTGGCACAGCCCTCCGTTATGGCACTGATATTCGGGTCGATGACAAAGGGGTCCTAGGAAAGAAAATACAACTGAGGAGTAAATATAATTGAAAAATAAACTTTAAAGTGACAAAAAGTTTCTCAAAAGTAAAACATGTATAATTATGAAATTATTGTCAGATAAAAAGGAAAGGAATATTTAAATAATCAATGAAGCCAGAACGTGCATTCATCTATACTAAAAAAGAACAGTGTTGAATGTAATGAAACCCCATTTTCTGGGTGAGTCCCACCCTGGCATCAGTCTATTCAATTGCGGTTCTCGCCTACCGGAGACCATGAGCCAGAACCTGGTCCTCTCAGAAAGGGATAGACACCCAGAAAAATAGGCGTCCCAAAACAAACTCCACCTGGTTAAAAATTCGTACCAAAAGCCGAAGATCAAGCAGAAGTCCCCAATCCGAAAACAAGCAAACAAGCATGATATCACAACAGCCACTGAGCTGCTGTCTGCACAGCGGGGGAGCCCCTGACCCCCACACCAGCCATCCAACCAAAGTTCAGAGGCTGAAAACCAAAAAAGCGAAAACCACCAAACAGAGGGAGGGAAGGAGGGAGGGGTTATCTTGAGGTTATCTTGAGATGATTTCGGGGCTTTTTTAGTGTCCCCGCGACCCGGTCCTCGACCAGGCCTCCACCCCCAGGAAGCAGCCCGTGACAGCTGACTAACACCCAGGTACCTATTTTACTGCTAGGTAACAGGGGCATAGGGTGAAAGAAACTTTGCCGATTGTTTCTCGCCGGCGCGAAGTTGTTGCCGGGAAGCCAGCAGAACTCAGCCAGTAAATGGCGTTTCATTGCATTCCACACTGGTTTTCTGTGGAGAGCCCTTCTGGCTTCCCAGAGCTACCTAACAAAAGATGAAGGAAAAGAGGGACTTACCCGGGAAGCAGCCGCCACTCACACCTCAACTCAAAGTCGAGACAAATGGCTGCAACCTGCGACCCAAATTGACACACGCCTAATGAGGGGCCAGGAACATTAACGAGGTAACGAGCAGCCAGGACCCTGTTTGACCTCCAAAATCCTTGTGCCCGAATGTCAGCCCAAGACATATTACCAAAAATGGCAGCTAAAGCAGCAGATTTGTAACCGTCATGGGCACAAGGATAGACCTCAGGCTGGATGGATCGAATAACCCTGCAGATGACCTAGGAGACCTGAGCCCTGGAACAGGGAAGAAAGGAAATCGAGTCAACCCAAAACGCGTCCCCAGCCACTAAGGCTGTGGTGCGCAAATAACGCGGAAGAGCTGCAACTGGACACAACACATATGATGAACCCCTGGCCCAACCAACCAAGCATCAACCACCCAAGGATCCCTCCGGAAAGCTGCCAAATCGTTCTACACCAGAAAAGGAGACGGCTGCAAACGAACAAACCTACCATCAGGACCAAAAGAGCAGAAACCCCTACACTAGAGAGCATGAAGCTCTCGACCCAACCCCCAGAGGTCAACGCCAAAAAGAAAACAGCCTTATCAAAACAATTCCGAACCAAAGGGGCCACCAGAAACCGAGGAGAAAACAGAAAAGAGAGAACCCGGTCCAATGACCAGGACGGCTCAGGCAGCATATGAGCAGGTTGGAGGTGAAACAACGCACGAGACAGCTTGCAAATCTGAGCGGAAGTAACATCCACCCTGAACGCAACCAGAAGCGGCTCCCCCAGCACCACATGATACAAGGCAGCAGTATTCAGCATAAGATGACTGTCAAGAGCCAAGAGAGAAAGGACAAAACAACCCTATCTGAAACCGAAGATAACCTATGGAGAAACAAAAAGAGACGAAAGGACCACCAGGAGACTTCACACGATGCAAATGAAAAACCTGACTTTAGGAGAGGACATTATGGCAACCTTAGAAAATTTTTTAGTGAGTATAATTGGACAGACTTGTTGCTAGGCAAGGAAGTGAATGAGATGTATGTCAGGTTTTGTGAAATATATGATAAAGGCACAAAAAAATTTATACCAAAACAGAGAAGCAGAACTAGGAAACAGGATTGGTTCAACAGAAAGTGCGAGAGGGCCAGAGACCAAAAGACACAAAAATGGAATCAATACAGGAAGAGGCCGAACCCCCAAACATACCAGCGATACAAAGATGCGAGAAACAACTACACGGCAGTGAGGAGAGAGGCAGAAAGAAATTTTGAAAAAGGGATTGCAGACAAATGTAAAACAGAACCAGGTCTGTTCTATAAATTCATAAACAACAAATTGCAGGTAAAGGATAATATTCAGAGGTTGAAAATGGGAAATAGATTTACGGAAAATGAAAAGGAAATGTGTGAAACATTAAACGAAAAGTTCCAAAGTGTGTTTGTACAAAATGAAATCTTCAGGGAACCAGATACAATAAGAATTACAGAGAACAACATAGAGCACATAGAGGTGTCTAGAGACGAAGTGGAAAAAATGCTCAAGGAGCTAAATAAGAACAAAGCAGTTGGTCCAGATGGAGTTTCACCATGGGTTCTGAGAGAATGTGCACCTGAGCTCAGCATTCCTCTTCAACTGATTTTTCAGGCATCCCTGTATACAGGAGTTGTAGCTGATGTGTGGAAAAAAGCTAACATAGTTCCAATCTACAAAAGTGGAAGCAGGGAAGACCCCCTTAATTATAGACCAACATCATTGACAAGTGTAATAGTCAAAATATTGGAAAAAATAATTAAAACTAAATGGGTAGAACACCTGGAGAGAAATGATATAATATCAGACAGACAGTATGGTTTTCGATCCGGAAGATCCTGTGTATCGAATTTACTCAGTTTCTATGATCGAGCAACAGAGATATTACAGGAAAGAGATGGTTGGGTTGACTGCATCTATCTGGACCTAAAAAAGGCTTTTGACAGAGTTCCACATAAGAGGTTGTTCTGGAAACTGGAAAATATTGGAGGAGTGACAGGTACGCTTCTAACATGGATGAAAAATTTTCTGACTGATAGAAAAATGAGGGCTGTGATCAGAGGCAATGTATCGGACTGGAGAAATGTCACAAGTGGAGTACCACAGGGTTCAGTTCTTGCACCAGTGATGTTTATTGTCTACATAAATGATCTACCAGTTGGGATACAGAATTATATGAACATGTTTGCTGTTGATGCTAAGATAATAGGAAGGATAAGAAACTTAGATGATTGTCATGCCCTTCAAGAAGACCTGGACAAAATAAGTACATGGAGCGCCACTTGGCAAATGGAATTTAATGTTAATAAATGCCATGTTATGGAATGTGGAATAGGAGAACATAGACCCCACACAACCTATATATTATGTGAGAAATCTTTAAAGAATTCTGATAAAGAAAGAGATCTAGGGGTGGTTCTAGATAGAAAACTATCACCTGAGGACCACATAAAGAATATTGTGCGAGGAGCCTATGCCACGCTTTCTAACTTCAGAATTGCTTTTAAATACATGGATGGCGATATACTAAAGAAATTGTTCATGACTTTTGTTAGGCCAAAGCTAGAATATGCAGCAGTTGTGTGGTGCCCACATCTTAAGAAGCACATCAACAAACTGGAAAAGGTGCAAAGACATGCTACTAAGTGGCTCCCAGAACTGAAGGGCAAGAGCTATGAGGAGAGGTTAGAGGCATTAAATATGCCAAAACTAGAAGACAGAAGAAAAAGAGGTGATATGATCACTACATACAAAATAGTAACAGGAATTGATAAAATCGATAGGGAAGATTTCTTGAGACCTGGAACGTTAAGAACAAGAGGTCATAGATATAAACTAGCTAAACACAGATGCCGAAGAAATATAAGAAAATTCACCTTCGCAAACAGAGTGGTAGACGGTTGGAAGAAGTTAGGGGAGAAGGTGGTGGAGGCCAAGACCGTCAGTAGTTTCAAAGCGTTATATGACAAAGAATGCTGGGAAGACGGGACACTATGAGCGTAGCTCTCATCCTGTAACTACACTTAGGTAATTACACTTAGGTAATTACACTTAGGTAATTACACTGCCGCCGAGACAAAACACGCAGGTGGGACACAATCAACAAAGCCACCTGATCACTATACAAGTGATGATTTAACCCGCATCAAAGACCAGACGCGAAGATCGAGGAGGATTCAACCAGCCATGTCCCAGACTGGACTGATCTGCTGAAAGAGGCATATCCGTGGAAAAGTCCCAGGGTTCGGACACTGAGAAAGCAACGCCAGAAACCAAAGCTGGGCCAGCCACCAAGGGGCCAACAGGACAACTCTCCCTTGGTAAATCTCCAACCGAGCTAGAACCCGAAGTAATAGCTGACCCGGAGGGAAGAGGTACAGGTATCCCCACGTCGACCAGTCCTGCCGAAAGGCATCGACCCTGACGGCCTTGCAGTCGGAAAGGGCACCACATATACCGAGAGAAACCTCAACCAAGCCGACGTGAAGAGGTCCACCTCCGAGCGCCCATATGTCTGGCAGAGCCAGATGAACGAGTCGGGGTCGAGCATCCATTCAGTGGACAGGGGAATAAACTTGGACAGGCCATCCGCCAAGACGTTGGATACCCCCCTGGATGTGAACCGTCAGAACAAAACCCCAAGAACTCAGCAGATGAGTCACCCGAAGCGACCAGCCCCAAAGAGCCAAGGACAGAGTGGACATCACACTGGACTTGTGATCCTGTGGTCCTGGGTTCGATCCCAAGCGCCAGCGAGAAACAATGGGCAGAGTTTCTTTCACCCTATGCCCCTGTTACCTAGCAGTAAAATAGGTACCTGGGTGTTAGTCAGCTGTCACGGGCTGCTTCCTGGGGGTGGAGGCCTGGTCGAGGACCAGGCCGCGGGGACACTAAAGCCCCGAAATCATCTCAAGATAACCTCAAGATGACAGCAACGAACCCCCTCGGTTCAGGCAATGAACCACTGGGGAACCAACCCGTTCTCAGACCAAATTCATTCCATCCAGCGGTGAACCCCACAGACGCATTTATCAATTTTTACATGATGTTCATTCAAAACGGGAATGTTCTGAAATATAAATTAATATTATAAT